ACAAAAGCAACAAATAAGAAAAACAATAATAAAAAATAATAATAAAAACTTCCTCCTACCCCTTCCCACATACCCTGCAATGCTATCTGTCAGTCAGATTGGCTTGCTGATCCATGGTTTTAAGGTATAAAATGAAGTATATATCATGACTGATATCCAGGACTTTAATTAGGGGACTTTGTTCTCTTTCCATAATAGGAGAATCAGTCTCTCAGCAGACATCAGACCATATGACATGAGACAGGCTTGTGAGCTTTTGAGTTTTTTTAGACTTTTCCGCGAGTCCAATAATAATCCAAACAGGGTCTGGCTCTAGCTTTATCTTAAAAAGCTGTGAAAAAAATAAAAACACGCCTGACCAAAAGCTTTACAAGTTTCAGCACATTACAAAACCATGGCGTAAATTAGCTTCTTTAACTTCACATTTGGAGATATTTCAGGAAAAAATTCTATGTTAACGTGCTTTTGAATAGTGTTTATGATTTCACAATAAGAAAGAGAGACTGGGCAAAAATTATTTCTAGGGTGAAACAAAAGTTAAAATGTTGGTGGTTTGGAATGCTTTGCTGCTTCAGGACCTAAATGACTCATAACAACTGCTGGAACCTTGAATTCTGCTTTTAAGCCAAATAAGGTAATTAATTTGAGACCTTACAATCAGGTTAGACAGAGCATCAATAATTTAAACCTCATCATCAAGTCCCCCTCAGAGTAGTTAAAAAAAGTAAAGGTTCTGGAGTGGCCTAGTCAAAGTAAGAGCCATCATGTTTAAAACACATTTACTGGATAAAAGATTGGGACAGAATTCCTCTCCAGAAGCTAAAAGACTCATTGCCACCAATACTGCCACAACCATTTAATTTGTTCAGGGAGTAGTTACCTTTTAGGGTTTCTTAAATGTACAGTCTGTAACTTCACATTGAATGGTCTGAAAAGGTTAAATGAGCAAAAACTGAAGAAATCTCCAAAGGGACAAATTCTTTATCACAGTACTGTATTTCTGTCTGCATTTGCCCTATGAGTGGAAAATATTAAATTAACTCATTGATTTGAATTCATCTAAGAGCAGTTTGGTTTCCTACGGTACAGAAACTGGTCCAGTTGTAAAATGCTGGAAGATGAGTTTGTCCTTATGGGTTGATGGTGGATTGAAATATTAGAACAAAACTAAAAGTCATATAAACAATAACACGCGCACATTTTAGGTTAATTGTTGACAGACGTGTTTAATCATTTTTAAGTAGGAACAATAATAGATTTATTTGTTTTCTCTTTGGGATATCAATTTCCGAGTTTCCATGAGTATTGAGATTTTTTTTCTTTTGCTTTGGAAAGTCTTAATTTCATTTCATTTCATCCAAACCTATAAAAACTGCAGGATTTAATATCCATACTTCTACATGGTTCCCCAATTTTATGCCATGATTTTTTTTTAAACATTTAACAGTTTCATAGTAACTCAATCTTTCTACCTCTTGTATTGTAAAACAAAATAAAATCCTAGCACTTTTTCTAATCAAGATGATAAAACAAGAATTATCGATGGGAATATCCATATGTAATGCCAAGGTTGTATAAAAATGAATAAGTTTTTCTTATTTAACTGAAAATGAAGAATAGTTTTTGTTGAAATAATCAAAAGTAATCCTAGAGAAGGACTCTTACCGGCCACCAGGCCATGTCCCTTCCAGCCAAGAAATATCCACTCAGAGTGTTCCTGCTCACCCTGCATGATGACTGACAGAAAACAGAGCTGGTTGAGCACAGGCTGTGAATCTGAGAAAGCATACATGTGTCGTTAGCTTTGACTCTTACCCATATACCCACAGCTAGGTTCAGGAGAAAATAAGTTGCAATGACAATAATATCAGAGAAGCTAAAGGACTGCGACCGGGCGTAGAAGTTGATGGTTGAATTCGGCATCCTCAAGTCGTCTCAGCAGGTACAAAAAAAAACCCCAAAACTTTTCTTTGATGCTATTTTTGTTCAAATGTCATTAATGTAGAAATAAAGTCTCAGATTCCCAAAGTTACAGGCACCCTTTAAACCTTTAACCTTTAAAGTCGTCCAGTAAATCCCCCCCTCTTGGCTGAGCCACAAACTGAACTCTGTGTTAATGCAAACCCTTCCACAGGCTGTTAGGTGTACGGCTGGAGAGGGCAGTTCCTTAGCTGAATTGATGATTAAACACATTACCCTAATGCACCTGCAGCACCAACACACACACACATTTTGCCAAGGAATAATGGAGTGTACTGTATGGCAGGGCACTGGAGTAGAGCAGATGCTCATGCCGACCAGAGTCCATGCTGACACACACACACACACAGATGGTCAATCATTGCTGGTGACAAGTTTAGTATCATTAGTGTCTAAACACACAAACATCTTCTGCTGAGGTACTAATAGTGGTCAGTGAAGGTGTGTGACAAGAGACTTTGAGCTGATTGTGTTTTCACTTAAATTAGTTTGGACACAAGTATGTATGCAAGAAATATTTTTGGAAGTTTTGTAAGCCCCCCCTCACTATGTTATATTGAGTTTAAAGGGTTTCTGGCAAAATTAGGAGGGTGAGTAAGAACTGCAGTCCAAACTTATCTTTAATCTTTAAGCGAGTGATTTGGTTAATAGCTGATGACATTGGATGTCTAAGATTTTCTAACCTGCTGTGGAATAATAATAGTAATTGAACTTTATTGATCTCAAATTGGAGAAATTTACCTCTGCATTTAACCCATCCTTGGGGAGCAGTGGTCGGCCATTGAGTGACACCTGGGGAGCAGTGTGGGGTTAAGGGTTTTGCTCAGGAACCCATAGTCCAGGCTGTAGGAATCGAACCGGCTAATTGCAACCTTCTCATAGCACAAGCGCACTGCTCTAACCACTGGGCCAACACTACCCCCAATATTCTAGTACTAATACGATGGATGATAGTTTGTTAAACGGACTATGTTTAAATGTTATTAATGCTTTCCTTCAAAAGTTATTCAATTATTTTCCAATAGAAAACCAAAGGATGCTACAGAATTTTAATATTCTTTTGTTTTATTTTCTTGTTACCATATATTTATGTATAGTAAGAAACAAAGGCCTGCAACACACAGCACCCGTTGCCCCTCATAGAGGTTGGTCTTCAGCAAAGGAGCAGCAGCCCCAAAACTAAAGAGGCCAAGGAATGCAAACAAGAAGAGCAACAAGCACCAAGCAGAGGAGACCCCATGAGGACCCCGAACAAGTAGGTCAGGAACCAGACCAGTGCCAAATGCAGAAAGACCAAGGTGGAGAAGACAGGATGTGGCCTGAGCAGCCTCACAAACAACATCAAACGAAGGGGGGCATTCAGATTTCTGTGTGCGAGTAGCCTTCCAGACCTGCATAATCTAGGTTGCATTATATAAAATCCTTTTTTCAAATGTATCTTTTTAGAAGTAGATGTGACAGAATCTAAACTATTGGTCCACCAGCCTCTGATTTTAAATTGCAGTTATTTAAAACTCTAACTGCATCCGTTTTGTTTAAATGGTACACAAACATGAGAGGACAAGAAGTCCGAGATAAGAGTGTTGAGTAAGTTTGCTTTCATGCTTCCCCGATGTGAAATTAACACAAACTGCTGGCCATTGTTTGCTTACTATAAGAAGCAGATGGCAGCGATGGTGACATGCTGACGTCACACATCATCATCATCATCAATCTCTCTTTCTCCCCCACGCACTCAGACAAACACACCACATGATATCAAAGCTGTGCACTGGAGTCAAGTCAAGACATTTTATTAAATCAGAGTTTGACCAAATAAATATTTTACAAGACTTACAGTTTAATGGAAAGGACTGCTGCTTTTTTATTTCTATTTTGTGGTAGAGGTATAAAAAAAGACATGTTTTCAAAGTGAAAACAAGATTCTAATTAAGTGATGATGTAAGCTTAAAGCTATAAACACAATAATGTAAAAATAGCATGTTGATTTTCCTAATGCTGAATATAAACCTTGTGCTTTATTCCAGCTGCTTCATTTATCCTAAACTATACATACTTTTCCTTGCTTCATAAATGAAATATAAAAACAGAACTGATATACCGGTACTTTCTAGAGTAAAGGAAAATTTCCCACATTATAAGATAAAATAATTTTTTTATAAAATCTAACATCTTTAAAAACACTCAAATGGACTGTTAGGTTAATTGGTCTCTATAAACTGTAACTCCTTTATGAACATGTATACATGGTTGGTTGTTGCACTGTCATGGAGAAAGATTAGGCCGGTGTACGCAATGGATGGGTAAATTAAAACAAAATACCAACCAACACGTAAACTGTCAACAGTACCTCATGTTGGTTGTTTCAACCATACGGTTTCAACAAACTTCGCGCAAGAAAAAAAAAAAAAAAAAAAAAAAAAAAAAAATATATATATATATATATATATATATATATATATATATATATATATATATATATATATATATATATATATATATATATATATATATATATATATATTATTTTTTTATTTTTTTCTATATATATATATATATATATATATAGATATCTATATATATATATATATATATATATATATATATATATATATATATATATATATATATATAGATAGATAGATAGATAGATAGATATATAGATATATAGATATCTATCTATCTATATATATATATATATATATATATATATATATATATATATATATATATATATCTTTTTTTTCGCTCTTTTATTCTTTTTTTTATTTATTTTCATATTTATTTAAAGAAATTGCCCTTCTCTAAGTTTGCAGAAGCGACATATTTCTAAAATTTTATTTCAAAAGACAAAATCCATCCATCCATCACATTTATTGAGAATAACATCAGAAATAGAAGTAATAAAACATGAATAATTAGAAAATAATAATAAAAAAACATCTGAAAGCCTGTTCCGCAAATACTTACAGGAAATAGCGTCATCAGTGATAGCCAATCAGATGCCAGGCTTCTCGACTTACCCGGAAGTAAACATCGCAACAAAAATTACCGCGAACTACCACAGAGGCCGAGTGTAAAACATTGATCAAAACGATTCTTTTTCTTTTAGTTTTTGAGCGGCTGGATTTAAAAACCACAGTTTTGCTGGTAGCGGTGTTTCTAACGATCTAAACATGGAGGAATATGACGATATTTTTGAGATTGAGGATCGGTTCGAGGAGCAGTTTGCTGACGAGCTGGAAGTGTTAGCTCAGATGGAGGGTGAGTGCATAAACTATATACCCAGTTTTTAGATGTGATGGCATATCTACTGATATGTTTTAGGACGACAACTTATGCACATTTCCCCCTCCCTCTGTTACATGTTTGGGGGGGGGGGGGGCAACACATCTTGAAGAAATTTGACTTCCTAAAAATCTAACTTGGTAAACATATCCTCGGAATGTCAAACAGAATTCATACCATTCAGGAATAATATGGGTTCTGTGCCCTAGAATGAAGTTGTTCAGTGTGAAAAATGCATCCAACCCCCAGGACTGCAGCAAAAGATGTTAAGATGCTGTCTAACAAAACCAGATAATATTTTGCACATTCCAAATAGGCAGAAAATATTTATGTTTTGGCGAGAAACAATGTCTCCTTTTGAAATGCATGGCCACAAATCCCGGAAAGCAAGAAGCACATGAATCCAATCTGTGAAACACGGCAGTGGCAGCATCATGCTCTGTTTCTCTGTCTGGAAGGTTTTCAAAACAGATGTTTGGGCTTTCTGACAAAAGACGATTGTGGCAAAAATATTGAGGCAGTATATCATGAATAGCTTGTAGAGGGAGACCCTAAAGATTTGACTCATTGTGTGAGAGACAAACAGAAAAAACACTTATGTTTTAGAAGTTGTGTTCATGGTGACACAGTTTGATAAAGTTGAGGAAATTTAAATGGAACATTCAGGGAGGAGTTGTGGACATGACAGGTGCTAATTTCTCCTTCTAGACGAAACCTCCCAGCCAGCGAAGCGTCTAAAGCAGACTTATGGAGACGACATTTCAGACATAGAACACCTCCTGGACACTCAGCCCAACAGTGAGTTCAGCCTTGTAGATATGTATTATAATTGTTTTATTATTGATTGCATGTCATTGAAGCTTAAAACCTTTCAGCTCCAAAAGCAAAGCGGCATGATACAGGCGTGGTTAAGCGTCTTTTCAATGGATCCCAAGCTCAGGAGAAGAAAGTCCTGCCAGAGCGTGACGACATCACACCGCCATCATCTCCTGAGCAGTTTGAGGTGTCAAACACCTTCAGGTAGCAGAGTTAGAAAAGAAAAAAACACCTCAGTTTCTTCTTAAATATTCACAAGAAGATGAAAACTGCTGCTTGTCTAAAAAGGATTGATTTGTGTCGTAGATCTACCGCTGCCGCGCTGGATATCAGTGGCTTTGCAGAAATCCCGGAGACCCCCGGGCAACCCGCCACACTGACCCCGGCATCCACACGTGTGCTGAAGCGACCGCCTTTGGAGGGCGAGTTTATCAATGTGACGGATTCGTTGGGGAATCGGGTGTACCTCCGACAGAAGGAAGAGACGGGCATAAAGGTAATCCACACATCATTAACTCTACTTTGATATAAACTTAGTCTGTCCACAGCTTGTCCAGACTTGATCTGTGTGGTTCTTATTTTTTATTTTCTCTGTCCGGCTCTCAAGAATGTGGACTCAAGAATAGTACCGAACACTGAAGGAGAACTGGGACTGCTCACTTTGCCAATTAGAGTACTGAGACAACAGGAAGCAGAGAGGGTGAGTGATGAAATCTGTCTGGATAATGGATGAGGATTTGAACAGAAGATCTAGAGGTTAGGAAGTGATGTGTGACTTTGTTTATTAAGGAACAGTTTCCAAACAAAGACTGGACTTTGATTTATTTTTTCTAAGTTTGGAAAATCCTTTCTCTCTCTATAGATAGATTATTCTCTAACACACTTCAGGATTTGTTTTTCTGTAATTATAAAATTTAAATCAAATGCACCTGGAGACGCCCCAACTTTAAGGTTTGTCTTGTGAATACAGAAAAAACAAGATGGTAAACATCTGTTTTCTTGTTTCTTTAATCCTTTAGCGCCACCAGCAGGTTATTGAGGAATCGCAGCGTCTCACTGAGCTGATTAGGTATGGAGCTCCTCACCATCTCTCATTAATGCACAGAGAAGTGACTGATCCTGTCAATAAATGTTTTTGCACGGGCAGCAGTGTGAACGATGCATTCGGCGACTCTGAAAACAGAGAGGAGGAGGATGAGAACGAGGATCCTGAAGACGCAGAGGCACGGACATCTCGGCTGTGGGTGGACAGATTTTCACCGCGTCACTACACGGAGCTCCTCAGTGATGATGTCAGGGATCCCTTTTAATCCTTTGTCTGGTGATAAACGCTGAATAATCTGGTTTCGGATCAGTTCACGTTCTGTTCTTGTCTTTCCTCTCAGTTCACTAACCGCTGTCTGCTGAAGTGGTTGAAGCTGTGGGACACAGTGGTGTTTGGAAGAGAGAGGAAGTCCCGCCCCACACGCTCTGACAGACAGGCACCCAGTCACAACTCATTCAAACCCAATCAGGGAAATCAGAATCCAAACCGCTTCAAAAGCAAAGTGGAGATGACGGAGGAGCTACTGGAGGCTGAACTGGACCAGTACAAACGACCTAAATATAAGGTAGTGCAGTTGAGCCATCAGATGGTTCCCTTTAGGTGAACTCTTGTGACGCCAGATGTTTTTCCCTCCAGGTGGCGTTGTTGTCAGGACCTCCCGGCTTAGGGAAGACCACTTTGGCTCATGTCATAGCAAAGCATGCTGGGTACAATGTGGTGGAAATCAACGCCAGGTCAGACCTGCTGCGATCAAAGCTAACATTAAGAGAACCAAACCGAGACGTTTTTCCCACATCCGGGTGTTCTTTGTGTGCAGTGACGATCGCAGTGCAGAAGTCTTCCAGAAACGCATCGACACGGCTACTCAGATGAAATCTGTTTTAGGCGCCAACGAGAGGCCGAACTGCCTGATAATCGACGAGATCGATGGAGCACCAGCGGTATCTTCAGAAAGATGCATCAACCATCAATGAGACACCATGAGACTCGGAGCAGTTTTTAATGTTTCCTATGTCCGCAGGCCGCCATCAACATACTGTTATCAGTGCTGAACAGGAAGGATGGACATGGTGGGGAGGCCGGTGCAGAAACCGCAAAGAAGAAAAAGAAGAAAGAGTCCATATTGCTTCGCCCAATCATCTGCATCTGTAACGACCTGTAAGATGAACACAAATTATGCTTCTAGATTTGAAACATTTCATGCCGTACTAACACCCGTCCGCTGCTGTTCAGCACGGTGGTGGATGTGTGATCATAAGGACTTGGCTAGCCATTTGTCACTTAGCTGATTGTGGATTTGTCTTTATGCACACAGCAGAGCAAAACACAAGTCCAGCTTCCTGACAGCTGAAGTTTGGCTCAAAGCGGCAGAACGATCCAAATTATTGCCTTACTTGCAAAAAATAATTTTGCAAGTAAGGCTAAATCACTCCATCACAATAATTTCATTAAAACAAAAACAAAGATTCTTAGTTTTTTTTTTTTTTTTTTTTTTACATATGATCTTCTGTTTGATTTTTTTTTTTTTTTAGTTTCCCTCAGAGACACACTAGCTTTCAATAATATTGATAAGTCTTTTTTGCATTTTCTACAGTTAAGTTTTTTTTTTTAATATAGAACCAAATAAAGAACAGACTCCTTATATATTGTACCAATACATTACATTTCAGAGCTGATCCTTCCTCTCACCAGTTCATATCTTTAAGTGTCCAAGCTACCTTTTTTTCGTAACATGGATATAAACACTACTTTGTAAGAAACAAGGCAAAATCATCTGCAGGATCCACCTCTGGCTGAAAGCTGAGTGTAACTGCTTTATAGAAAACTAATGTTGCCTAGTCTGTGTTTGTTATGACCTATAGTTGGATTGGAAAAAAGGTTAATTTAAGTTAAAAAGCTAAGCTATAAGCTAAAGTGAATATCCAGTTCGTGTATCACAGTTAATGTTCAGAGGGTTTTGTTGTAACAGAAAATGTGTTTCTTTTTCATTTGGTTTTCATGAATTTCTTACAGAAGCACTCTTTTGATTTTTTTTTTTTTGTTTTGTTTTGTTTTTCTTTTTGTTTTTCCTTATTTGAACAAGTGACTGTTTTGGTAATTAGACTAAAAATACCTTTTTTTCAGTGTTAAAAAGTAATTAGGTTTTGTTCTGTCCACCAATAACAATCTTGACTTGAAATACTCATTGTCAAAGTGTTTGACTAAGTACCCAGTGGAGAGCTAAGCCTCATTTCCTTCAAGTTTACGTTTTTCTTTCTTTCTTAGTTACGTTCCTGCTCTCAGACCTCTCAGACAGCAGGCCTTTCTTCTGTCTTTCCCACAAACCCAACCTTCCCGCCTCACTCAAAGATTAGCAGAGGTCAGTATTTCATTACTGAAACACTCAAATAAGGACACAAGTCAGAGATCAAGCTGACATATTCTCACACTGCATCTGTCTTTTCTTAGATCTCCACACGGCAGGGCCTAAAAGCAGACGCCGGGGCTCTGATGTCCTTGTGTGAGAAGACAGATAATGACATTCGTTCCTGCATCAACACTCTACAGGTGCGTGGTTGTCCTCTGGAGAATCCTCTGTCTTTGTATATTAGACCATATTTATTTAGTGAGGGTGCATGCTCTTGCCTGCGCAGTTCCTCCATGGTCGTGGCTTGAAGCAGCTGGACTCCAGAACCATCCAGAGCGTCTCTGTCGGGCAGAAGGACCAAAATAAAGGCTTGTTCTATCTGTGGCAGGAGATCTTTCAGTTACCACGGATAAAACGGTAAACTTTCTGTGCCCCAACGCCTGAGATCTTCCTGTTAAGTTTTGAATTGAATATGTATTTATTATATACTGACATACATATATTTGTGTGAATGTACAGGTTCCTGTTTAGCGCATTATAGCATAACAGCTGGCTACACTGAAAGATGTTGAAATGAAAGCTAACATGCTTAACTTTATTTTTCTTTAATGATTGTCACAGCTGCAGAAGCTGTATTTTAAACATTTAGCTCCTTATTTGCTCAAAAACATGAAAAAACTGTTTAAGGACCTAGATTAGACTCAACGGGTCAGTCTGAGTTATTAATGTGAAATATGAACATTACCTCACAATGTGGAGAAAGAGGAAAAACAAAAGAGGACATGGGCACAGCAGAGGGGATAAAAAACAAATAATTTTGCTGTAGATCCCATTAAACTCTAATTAACAAGTCCTGGGGAGAACCCAGCTCAACTGCAGTTGCTTGTCTCCTACTTTTTAACATAACGCCCTGCCGTTTGAGTAAAGCTGGTTTGTGTTGGTCAGAAAACGCATCGGCGAAGGCTTTGAAGAAGCACCTGGTTCAGGAAGTGGGTTTCAGAGGTTCCAGCACATTTTGCACCTTGCTTCATCAAGCGGAGAATACGAAAAGGTGTCTCAGGTAATAAATGATCCATAATCACCACAGCCTTGTTCCTCCAGTTTTCTGCACAGCAGACACCTAAAGCAGCTGCCGTCTTTTCCTCAGGGCCTCTATGATAACTACTTGTCCATGCGAGTGAGGGACCCCAACATGCAGAGCGTGTGCGAAGCTTTGGATTGGCTGATGTTCTCCGACAGGCTGAACCAAGTGATTCTGCATGGACAGAACTTCTCCCTGATGAGATACCTGCCCTTCCTCTCCGTGACATTTCACTTCCTGTTCGCCCACATGCATGTGCCGCGCATCAGCTATCCTCACAGCCACCACGAGGTACCGCGTGTAAAATGAACAAGGAGCCAAATTGTTATATGGGATATTTTGAAAGGGGACCTCTGAAGAGCTCATGTTGACGTCCTTTGCAGGCTGCGTCTCGTCTACTAAGCAGCAGGAACGCTTTGTCCACCATGTTGGCCGACATCCCAGCAAGCATCCGATCGAGGATCGGCCCGCTCAGCCTCACTCTTGACATTCTCACATTGCTTCTTGACATCATCTGTCCAAAACTGCGACCTGTAAGTTTAAAGCATATGTCGTCATTCTGCTTTAAATAGAAAATGTTTTTTTTTTTTTTTTCAATACTAGGACATTGATCCAGTATAAACTTTCTCAGAACTTTTTGCTTCACTTTACAACCCTGTATTATCTGTTTTTTTAACCCCGTGGAAACCTTGAGTTTTGATGAAGTGTAATATATCATTACAAGTGTAAAGATATATCACTTCAGTTTCATCTCACAGAAAAAACAATCACTGCTTATGAAACGATAAACATATAAAATAACGGCTCTCAACTATAAACTAAACTTTAAGGCATTGACAGTGGATGGTTTTCAGACCTTTTAAAGAGGTAGATCAGGTTGGTGGAAAGGATCGGTTTCACAGTGAAGCATTGGCCAAACCGAGGCCGATCCATCACCTGGCTGGTAAATCAGAGTACCCCTAATTTAAGGTATGAACTCAAGAGGAAATGGTCAATCAAAAGGAGTTTCAACCTTTAGGATCATTTTTTTTATCCTTTTATTTACCATTAATTGTTCCTTGCTTAAATAGGAGATTTTTTTGTTTTTTTCATTTTCACCCAGGTAACAGAAATCTTGTGTACGGAAACCTTCGTGCTTTCCATCTCCACTGCTCTGAGAGAGACGTTTATTTAAAAAGGCATTACTTAGTTTTCTAATCATACTGCAACCTTTGGCCAAAACCCACAACTACAGAACTTTTCTGCTGTTCTCATCAGAATCAGAAATACTTTAATAATCCCAGAGGGAAATTACTTTTGTTACACACTCCAGTTACAGTTTTACATGATATATACACACATCCAACTATACAATATAATAAAGATAAAAAAAAAATAAGAATAAAAAGAGATAAAGTATATACACATATAGCTCTTTTGTACGTATATCTATGCATATGTAAAAACTAAATCCAAATAAAGTGAAAATCCAAGTAAAGTAATACGTGGCATGCAAAAATAGTGCATGCGCTTATATTTAAATTAAATAAGTTTTTCTTTAGTTATTTCACCTGACAAGCTGTTTCCTTTGGTGTCTGAATTGTTTCTGAGTATCCATAAAATCCCTCTTGAATATAACGCTTCGATTGTTTGCTAGATTGGACCCATTTAACATGAACGCGCTTAACGTTGCATCCACATAAAGTAGAGTAAAGCGCTGAACTACTGAGGTGTCCGTCTGCTCATCAAACAATGCTTTAGCTCTAAAAGGTCAAATAAAAAGACTTTTTTTTGTTGTAAAAACGTACAGAATGTCTGTTTAAATCAGGGTAATGATGCTTGGGTAAGTTGCGAAAGAAAACTTTAATACTTCTCCTGTCCAGCAGGTGGGGGTAATAAGAAACTAAAGACCGAACTAGCAGGTCCTGTTCACAAAGCATCATGCAGAAAGCACAAGTGGCATATGTCCTTCTACTTTGATCCTTTTTCCAAGTTTGCTTAAATATGAAGCCCTATATAACAGGGAAGGTGAGAAACACACATCCTAAATATGCTGCAGAAGTTAGAAAACTGAAAAAGAAACAAAAAAAAAATGGTCCATCGGTCATGGCTTCTCAGCGCATGATGTGAAGGTCCTACCAAACCTTTGACCCAGGAAATTTAAATTGCATGAGTAGAATTAAAAGGAAATGTTTGAACTTTTTCTGTTACTTTCATTTAAATCATGCAGACAACCATTTTATCACATTAAAACCCTTTGATTTGTTTTAATATTACAAACCACTGACATTGTTTTACACATTTCTACACTTTACACCGGATGATGGTGCCGCCTTGGTTTCTTCCAGGTGAATCCGCAGCTGTTTAGCAGCAGAGAGAAGGAACAGATGCGCGAGCTGATTGACACCATGTTGGCCTACAACCTCTCATACAGGCAGGACCGCACACCTGAGGGCCAGTACACCTACGTGTTGGAACCGTGAGTACGCCTACATAACCGCGGGGGCGGCGGCTCAGCGAGCAGATGTTTGCTTGTGGGGTGTTGAAGGTCACTGCTGTTGGCCATACGGTGGTGTCTCTGGATAACAGCTTAGAGAATAATCCCCTTATTACCTGGTGTGTTTGTGTCAGCGCAAAGGTAGTAGAGCCTCACTGTCGGGCTACAGTGATATTGACAGCCCAAAATGGAGGAGTTCAACATTTATCGAGCAGAAATGTGTTGGAACAGTTTTTGCTTTGGACTTTGTGTTCATTTTTAGGACTTTTTTTTTTTTTTTTTTTTTATATTTTATTGATTCCTAAACCCATCAGAGACTAGGAGTTTAAATTGGGATCCCTCAGGGATGCCGGCCCCAGCTGAGGAGCAGCCCGGCGCTCAGGACGGCTCCTTCCTGCAGGCGCGCTGTGACGAGGTGCTGGTCACCAATGACTGGTGCCTGCCGCTGGTTTTAGCTCTGCTGCTGCTGCTCCTGGTCTACACCTTCCTGTACCTGCCCTCGCTGGCGCACCATAACACCACCCTCTGAGTGATTGATGGGAAAAGATGGAGGAGATCCGTTTGGGAACGAGGGCTTAGTGATGTAGGCAGCCGGAATGTGTGGAAGACATGGGATGGATGATCAGACTGCTCTTAGGGAGTCGCAGTTATGGGACTAATTCCAGACGCTGTAAGCAGCAAACAGCTTTTAAACCCTTTTTAGCATGAAGACACTGCAGCCACTTTTTTTTCTTCTTCATCTCTGCCTGTTTATAGATTAAGATAATGGACAATTGTGTCCCAGAAAGAAAATTAGGGATGCAGGATTTATCAGGGTTAATGATGTTTGAGGAGGTCCTTGTTTGGTCATGTGACGGCGATGCAGAGCAGGATTGTGTTGTTTAACTGAAGCAGGGAAGCAATTTCAGCTGTATAAGTTGAAAGGGTATTGAATTATGTGGTAAATATTCATTATCAACGATATTAATATTTTGTATACACACTACATTTTCAAATAGTTGCATCCATGAATAAAATGTAAATAATGTCCTTAGTGTCAGGCTTCTTAACAGGTCTGGAACATTCTTGATTTTGATTTGATCATTTTCTAGATCTGATTGAGTACAGAAAAAAAAAAGACTGATTATTGATCAGGATGGATTTATGTTTAAACATGTAGTGGATGATCTTCTTTTAGCTTTGGTTTATTTATTGGTTGTCCCACCCGCCATCTTTGAGACATGCTCTCCTACAGGACTTCAGAAAATTTTATACTCTTTTAAGATTACCATAAAAGAGAGAGAGCAACTAGCACGCAGATCCATGCGTTTCAGTTGGAGCAAGTGTCACTACCTGATCCGTACCTTCAGCTCATTAGCGCATACATTCGGGTCTCCCGCGATTTTACTTCATAAAAGAGACCAAAGCTATTTTTTTTCTCTCGCCAAAATTAATAAGCGTAGTAAACTAGACTGTAAAATCCTTGCTGTTTTATCACTCGTCTGTGCTCAATCCATCCTGGAAATGGGATCCTTTGCTACTTCATGGAGCTAGCTTATTTGGCTTTGTATTTATACATGACTGGAGTATTTCCAAGTTTTATTTTCTACATCAATTGAGGCACACCTGGGTGTTATTATGATTTGCAGGCGTGTTGAGGAGGTGGCCAGGTTTCCAGGCTTACCACCGCATCGGCAGCTCACATATCAGGCCAAACAGACCATCAGCAGAGAGATGGAGCAGGAAAAGATGAGGAGAGCAGAGCATATAATGATGCAGAGGAACCCTTCAAAGGTGAAAGGCCAAAGCACTGTTTAATGAAAACAGAACTGGAGCTGAATGAAATAGTATTTATGTTGGAATGTGCGTGTTTTTCTTTTGTTTTTTTTTTGTACAGAAAGAGGAAGAGAAAAAGAGTGCTGGCCCAAAACCGACCAGGAACCATCAGCAGAGGTTGGAGAACATCGTGAAACAAACCACAGTGGAGGCGAGGGTGAGGGAGCACAGAAGCACTTCAGGAATTCTTTGGTGGAAATGATTGCTTCATTTATAGACAGCTGGAAGTTTAGCTGGCTCAAGTTACAAAAGCAAACAAAGATTGTTCTGATTGTTATCATGATCTTTGGACAGAAGGAGCCTTTTCTCCGGAGTAGTTCTGTTTCCATTATACTTGATCAGATAACAAGCTACTCGTATCCCCCCAAAACAGAACATTTTAATTAGTGATTAGTTTTTTTTTATTACTTTTGTTAATGAGAGCATCAAGGAATATGAATAGATTTAATGCTAGATTTTTATGTACCTGCGGCCCTGTAGAAGCTCCTTAGCTTATTATATGTGTTTTAATTAATTTCATTAAACAAAGTGCTATAAATGTTGAAACAGAGCGGATCCATGCTAATTAGTTTCAGCCAGGTGTTGATTGATGAAACCAACCCTATATTTTAATGGTTCTGCAATGACAGAGTTGAGCCTCTAGGGGGCAGAACGAGTATAAAAAGAAGCCCCTGGGATTACAATCTCTGATGGTGAAAGTAGGCTAATAAAAAAGGTGATGTGTGCAAATGTTCTGCTTCCAACCCGTTTTACTTTTTCTAAACTTAAGTTTAACTCTTTCCTCTTCTTCTGTTTGTGTTTTGCAGCCGGAGGTGGATTTCTTCGGTCGAATTGTCACCCCCAAACCTCAGAGACCACAGCCGTCCTCAGACTCAGGTACTGTAGACAGTGAGTGCAAATTCACGTCACTGTGGCTTCATTTATTCTAGCCCTGAGGGGCCGTTGGTGTGAAAACGCCCTGTGACAAGTCAGGCCCACAGAAACCAGAGCTGATAAAGGATGTGAGTTACGTCACGGTTCTAATTTGGTCCTCATGTAGCAGGCTGAAAACTCACCAAAGGAATTAGATCAAAGTTCATTTCTGTATCACAGAGGACCACATAGCCATTTTCTAAATTTGCATGTAAAAAAAACAACACTTTATGTAATAAAATGGATTACAATGTAGTTTCATTTGTATATTCAGAATAGTGGCATAATCCAGATGGAAAATATTATTGAGAATAATCATAGGTGTTTAACAGCTGCGTCCAACACATTTATATGCTGAAAAGTTCAGTTTAAGCTATATGGGTGACTTTTCTCTGTAGTTATGCAACCACCCAGAGTTATTTTTGTGAATGGTGCATACACAAGGCCCAGATTCTGAGGGCTAAGGCAATTAAAAGTGTACCCATTAAAGCTGCTAACCTCCCTGAAAGCGATCGATCAGCAGGGCAATTAGGGTGCGGAAGCAAAGCTGGAGCCGTTTGTAGGTCAAAGCAGGAACAACGGACGGATTTTCTGAACCAAAACAGGCGCTGCTCCAAATCCGGAGTGTCCCGCTGCCCTTGCTGATTACTGAAAGCTCAGTTTTAGTACATTTTATATGCTGGTGACCTCCAAGGACATGGAGTTAACCTCGCTTCCTGCTGTGTAATTATCATTCATTCAATACTAAGGCTTCACCCTGTTTTTTTTAATTCTGCTTTTGTTGTGTGTTGGATTGCAAGAGGCAGCCTTTTTTCATCGGGGAAAAAAGAAGAAAAAGCACTTAGGACACAAATAGTTGGGCAAATTGTATCCAAAAGAGAAATGCTGGATTCAGTGGCGGCTGGTGCAGTTTTCTCTAGAGGGGGGCTATAAATTCAAAATAGACCAGTCACACATATACTAAGTACACCAGTTTATTTATATGAATGCCAAAAAGAAAAAAAAAAACATTTTAAAAACAAAACATAATTTCATGTACAGGTTTAATTTTTGTACAGAAATCTTGCCCTTCTGAGGCTTTGTGAAGGCAAATCTGTGTTCAGTCCTACTTTGTACTAGGGGTGTCCCAATACAACTTAATTGGCGAGACAGTACTGATATTCAAGCTTTCGCTAATGACTGAGAGGGATAATAACCCAGTATGAGATCAACACAAGTCATACATGCTTTTACTACCTATTATGTATTGGGGCATATGAGAAAATGCATTATCAGCTTATATTGCTCAAGCGGAGAACAATAGTCAACTAATATACTTAAGAGAAAAACCGACATGTTTGTTATTAACCAATGCGATACATAAACTTTTAACAGAAGTAGAGCGTTTCTATTGGCCTGCTAATACCAGAGATTTAAAATGAAAGACATTCAGATATTTAGTTGTTCTTTTTGGGGGGGCTGATATCGAACCAATATCAATATCAGATCAGGATAACCATTAGGACTGCAACTAACACATTATTATGCTTATCTATTATCTGTTAATTATTTCTTCAGATAGCCAAAGGTTCCTTAAACAAGAATTTTTACAAAATGAAACCAGGTGAAACTAAAACTGTTCCAATTAAGGAGTTCTGGATAGAAGATTTTCACAGACAATTTATTTTATTATTATTTTTTTACTGAAATGCAAAATGTTTATGTATTTTTTTACAATCTTGGTGTAATTACTCCTCTAAGTGGGTTGCTCTGTCAGCTAAAGGCATGTTTTACCGTCTCTATACTCCAGTTAATGATTAATCGATTACAAAATTAGTTGACAATTATTTCAATAATTGATTAATCCGATTAACTGTTTCAGGCCTAATATCCATACTTTGTTGGAAGGGAGAAGTGTATCCAACTTTCTGAACCTCATAAACTGTCTTAATGCGTTTTTCTTTCTGGACCTGCTCTCTAAAACCTTCACAATGTTAACTAATTGAGAGAAAATGTTATTTCAATGTTTAAACAAATAAAATGCACACTCTTTTATTCATTGCAAGCTTTTGGTGCCCCACCATATTAGTTTATGGTCATCTAGTGCCTCTGTTGAAATGACTTGACGAACTGATCATCAGGAAGTTAAACCACCGGTATTACAGCTGGAGTTCTGGCTGTTGTTGAAACATGCTGAGGTGGAAAGCAATCAGCTGTGAGCTTAAAAAGGGGAAACCTGATGCTCTGCGGGGTTATATGAAGCCATTTCAAAAACGATTTAAATACTCTATTCAGAAGTCGATGTCCAAGAATATTCTCTTCCAGGTCTGTCCAGCTTCAAGGTTTACTTTTAGTTGGAATATTAACAAAGTTAGCAAGAAACCAGCTGATTAAGAAGGATTTTTTTATCCCTTTATTTTCACTCTCTGTGTTAAACCCATCCCCTTGGGGAGCAGTGGGCGGCCATTGTGTGGCACCCGGGGAGCAGTGTGAGCTGAAGGGTTTAGCTCAGGATCCCAGAGTGGAGGCTGTGGGGATCGAACCGGGTACTTGCAGCCTTCTCAGAGCATAAGCGCACTGCTCTAACCATTCGGCCAACACACCCCATGAAATCCAAATGAATAAAAAGACTTAAAATAAAAAGCCAGATGAATCTTGACTCTAACAGAGGTACCAGATACAGCAACAAATTGAGAACAGAAAGGCTGAAAAATAATATAAAAGTTGTTGTGGCCTAGTCAAAGTCCAGACCTCAGCCTGATTGAAACACATCTCCAATCCTCATGAGGGGCAGAAAATGACTGAAGCTGATAAGCACTGATGGTGAAGCTACAGTTCTCTGCATCATGAGCTGTACTTAGATTCTAAAAAAAAAAAAAAGGAGGTTTCTAGGTACTGATATAAAGGTAGAGCGCATGACCCATATACCCATGGTCACAGGTTCAAGTTCCGGTCCTGCTGACCTTTGCCTAATTTCTCTCCCCTATTGAAGCCCACTTTCCTGTCTACCTACTTTAAAATAATAAAGTAAAGGCCACAAGAGCCTAAAGATAATCTTTTAAGAAAAAGGCTTAATCAATCTTGTTTTCCTTATTTTAAGCAGCAGAGGAGCAACAAGGAATCAATATTTTGTAAACAACAGTGTACTGTTGAGGTTTCTTTTAAAAGCTGAAATATTTGTAATTTTCTTCCTAATAGGCATGATTATAATTTTTTTAGAGGGACATTCTTCTTATCAAGTATTTTTTTTGGTTAAATGAAAGGCTGCAGAGTGTGTCACTAATATAGTAATTACAGTATCGATGCGTGTTAAATCCGCATCCCAAAGGACTGTTATAGTGTGATAACTGTCAGCTAATTCATCCCAAGTGTTTTGATCTTACATTTTCCATGCTGAAGTTAAACCTGCCAGGTTTTGACTGAGCCTCAGGTTAGCAGATACTCACAGTGAACACAAATGACATTCCCTAAATGGCTAAGCTCACCGAGTGAATGAAATGCGGATGAGAATGGGAGGAAAGAAGGTTATGGCTTAAATTGAGACCAATATGGCAGTCTCAATTAAGTCAAATACTTCGTCCTTTTCAAACAGCTTTACTATGCAGACCATAGCAGATGTCAAAATGATCTGTTTCCTCTCCCCGCAGGTGAGAAGTGTGCCGTTCTCTCCATGGGGACGGCCGTAGGCAACAGCGATGTGTGGTTCCGCTTCAACGAGGGCATGTCCAATGCGGTCAGACGCAACGTTTACATCCGAGAGCTCCTATAAACACCACTGGACCGACATCAATACGTTCTGTTAATTCAAAACAGTCTTTATTTGGATCGACAGTGCAAAGAGCCAATAAAAAGGACATTGCTGAACCCAGGGGAAGATGCTCAGTGTTGCACACTCATTCCAACACGCACATCAAGCAATAACATCCAGGAATCTCCACATAAATAAACATAAATAGAAGTATCAATGTGTGTAGGAGGGGGGAGAACCAGTGCAGCCAGGCTGAGGGGGATTGCATGTTTGTTTGTTTTTAAGATTATATGCATTTGTGATTGTGTGCGCGACCATTAGAGGATCACACACTTGCCCTTTTCCACCCAGGGGTTGGCTCGCATCAGTTCAGGGTTCAGAAACGGATCTTCACAAACACAGCCTTCGATCCACTTCACCAGCCTGCAGAAACAGAACCATGGACAGCGTGAGCATGTTAACTGGGGTAGAGAGGGAGATGGACGGCTGACGCTCCACTCACTCCGTTACGGTGATGGAGGATTTCTCTCTGTTGATCGCCAGCTGATACTGAAGGCTTTCCACTTCTCTCTTCATCTGTGGGACGTCTAACTCCGCCATGATGCCGCCGATGTGGTTCACCCAGGCAACTAAACAGATATTCAAAAACATAGACTGCCTCACAGATATTCAAACCGCTTTAATTTTTCATCACATCACAGACTATTTGTGGCACAGATGGCTTGAATTTAGAGTCATGTTTCAAAATCCAAAATTTTATTCGTGAAAACCTGAAAAGTGTGGCATGCTTTGGACAGGTGGAGACGAACTCTGGAGACGAGTGTCTGTGAGGAACGATTTTCAATGTTGACAAAGTTTCTGTTGGATTTAGGTCAGGACTTTGACTAGGCCATCTAACATGGATGTGCTTTAATCCAAACTATTCTATATACTGCTCTCTGTTAAGGGTGCCTTCCTAAAAAGCTATTTGGGCCCAGCTTCAAATCTAACCTTGGCTTTAGTAGTTTTGTTTGTTTTTATCTAATGAATCCACTTTTTTTTTTTTTGCTCCACCCTCCAACCCTGATCTACTTCATCGTTGCTACATAAGAAAAGCATCCTCAAAGCACATCTTGTTATCCCATCAACAAATTCTTCAACTTTAGCTGTGAGGTTCCTGTGTGTCAATCTATGTAACCCTCCATGTTTTAGCAGGTTTGCATTTGGTCCTAAAATCTTACTTTTTATGTCCAAAAACAAGTACTTAAGCAGATTTTTTTGGATTTCATAAGGTGCTTTAGGTTGCACAATTCAATGGAAAACACTCTGGTGATCTATGTCCAGAAAATCCCAATGAAACGATGTTTGTGTTTGTAACAAGGCAATATGTTAATAAAAAAGCTTGAACCACAGCTGCTGCTTCGCTGAACCGAGTCAGTAGCTGGCAGGACTAATTAGTTGAACTCATAAGAAGCTATGCTTATAATGCATACTTGTTGGGATTTTTTCAAGCTTTTTCACACAAAATGATTCGTTGCAGGAGTTGTTTCATAAATAAAGTTTCAACCTGTGTTTCTAGATATAAGATTGCAGACACCAATAAAAGAGCAACAGGGTTTGGCTTTAAATTAGTTCCCGTTTTTTCCTTATCTTTAGGACATGTAACATCCTCCAGTCAATCATCTACTGCATGACTGGTTTTAATCGCAGCGCTTTTAAAGGATCGTCTTACTGGAGCTATAGTCCATAAGCCTGGGAGATTCAGTCTTTTCATTTTATCAGGTCATTCCTTCTGATTGGAGGTGAAGTTACTGGTTTGGATTGAGTGACTGATCTACAGTCCTGGTCAGAATTTGTATATAGAAAGCTAAAGATCAGGGTGATGGGAAGAACTAGACTATACTTTACTGAAGAGGATTTATACGCATTATATGATGTTAATAGTATTTGTTTTAATAGTTGGCAGCACAATTGTTGCAACACTAATAGGTCATAAGACCTTAATTCTGAGGGAAGTTTTGAATTAATATGATCAGTAAGTTAAATTCCTCTGCAGATGTATTGATTCAGGAAATCACTTACATTTTGGGATAAAACATCACGGTCTGTCAGATCAAACTTAAAATTCAAGCAACAAAGTAACTAGTAAAGAAAGGTAGGGGATCTGTGGTGCTGTGGGCCAACTTCTCTTCCAAAGGCATCACCTGTATTGCATCATAAACTAAAGTATTAAATAAGAAGATAGTGGGTCAGTCAGTGGTTCACATCTCAGTCTCCAGAAATAAATTCTTAAAAACCTCCGGAGGGAGCTGAAGATGAGAGCAAAGGAGATTTTTTTTTTTTTTTACAAATTCTCTCGCCAAAAGTTTACACTTTTATGCTCCCACAACAATACAAACTTATGTTAAACCACCTGTATTGAAGGAGGAGTTCTGGCAGTTGCTGACATCTGTTGAGGTGGAAAGAAATCAGCTGTGATCTTAAAGAGGAGACTGTTGCTGCTGTGCAGGATTATATGAAGCCATTTCCAAAAAGTGATCTGAAGGCTCTTTAAGTCCCTTTAGAATATGCATAATTTTATTTAGGGGGGTATTTAGAGAACATTTTTAGACTGGATTGTTCTGAGGCATAAAAAAAAAACTGGTATTAAAAAAACATTTTTACCAAATCAGTTGCTGAAATCTATGCTACATTCTCTCTGTTACTGTATGGGCTATAACAGTAGAGCCATAGTTCAGTTAATGCTCAGCCTATAAAATATTCATCCAGCAGCCTCAGCACTAAAACCCCTGTTAGATACATGCAGCTGTGTCCATCCTTTATATTATATATAACTGCTTTATTTTGAATAACTTCCACATTCCTACAGAACATATTACAGTGATGATAAACAGGACTTTACAGGAAACAATGGGTCGCCTCAGCCTTTATGTTTTTAATTTTTTCATCTCCTTAATGGATCTATGTAGGTCAGATACTGATTTCTCCATCAGCATCTGCTCTATAGGAAGGCCTCCATCATTCCATTAAAGCCTCTCTACTCCAGAAAGCAGACATGTTAGTCTATAAATGGATGTTTGCAGCTCTGTGGCTGTAGGAGGAGGAGGCCTGGGATAAAGCACAGCATCACAGGCTGATGTATCGCGATAATAATGGATGCAAAGGGAGCTTCGCTGCCTGGCTTACCTGTTCAGGAGGATGGAGGATATTGGAGGGGCTTTAACAGCGTCGGTGTCCGCTCCGTGTGGCTTTACTCCGGCTACAGCGTGGGAAGAGAAGGAATTGTGGATGGGTCGGCACTCCCCTGCGCTCCTCAGGCTGTGACTGGATGCTGGATGCGCAGAGAGAGAGAGAGAGAGAGACCGACCGCCTGGTTTGACTGTCAAACGAGGCTCAGGACACCTGTATGCAAATCCCTGCTGCATGAAGCAGGCAAATCAGGGCGAGATGTGGAGGCAAGGCAGCCAGGGATGTTTTCCTCCTCTAATGGGGCCGATAATACAGGACAGGCTCCCAGAGACCAAGATCATGAGAAATAAAGGCGATGGGGGGGGCAATGGTGGCCCTCCATGGGGCTTGTTGGTAAAATGTACCAGGCTGGGACCGGTGTTGTAGGCAGGGGCGGATTAACCATTAGGCAGTTGTCTTCCCGGGGGCCCCATAAAACTCTTGGTTCATTCATCCATTTTCTTTACACGCTTCATCCAAAGTGGGGTTGTGAGGGGTGCTGGTGTCTATCTCCAGCTGTCTATGGGCGAGAGGCAGGGTACACGCTGGACAGTTTGCCAGTCCATGGCAGGGCAACACAGAGACAAACAGGACACACAACCATTCACTCACACACTCAAACCTAAGGAGAATTTAGAGAAGCCAATGAACCTAACAGCCATGTTTTTGGACTGTGGGAGGAAGCCAGAGTACCCAGAGAGAACCCCTACATGCTCAGGGAGAACATGCAAACTCCATGCAGAAAGGCCCCGGGCCGGGAATCAAACCCAGAACCTTCTTGCTGCAGTGCTACCCACTGCGCCACTCAGCAGCCCAACTCGTGTTACATGTATGGTTAATACAAATATTCCTTATTTGTGCACATTAAATTTTTTTTTTTATAAAAATCCTTCCGTTAAAACGCCATCAGAACGCTTAGAATATTTTAAGTGTTTCTCAGCCCCCCTTGTTTAGTGTCCACCATATTGGATCAGTCCGTTTGCTGCACATGTTCAGAAAGGTCCAACAGAGAGCAGCAATCATTTGAAAACAAATGATGCAAAGAGCAGTGTTGCCAAATTAGCGCTTTTGTCGCTATATTTAGCCTCTTTAGACCCCTCTAGCGCTTTGATTTTAAAAAAAGTACCCAGAGCCAAATCTAGTGACTTTTTTCTGCTACTTGAGACTTTGGCGACAACCAGAGGCGTAGCCAGACATTTTTTATAAGCGTGGCCAGGCAATAAGCGATGTACACTGAGGGGTGGCCGAAAGTAGATAGGCACCAGATCCTCACGGTCAATCTACACTGTTCCAACAGGAAAATTAACGAGCATCCATCCATATTTTCTAAATTAAGACTAGACTATATACTTTCCCTACAGCCTTCACTAACAAATAGACACATATATTTAAACATCCGTAATCTCTAAATAAAAGGAATAGTGGTTAAAACTCAGTTTTGAGTTCTGGGACATAAATTAATCATCATTGGCATGACTTACCTACTTGTATGAATAAACATTCTGCATAAAATTGATATTTACAAGCACAGATAGATAGATAGATAGATAGATAGATCGATAGATAGATAGATAGATAGATAGATAGATAGATAGATAGATAGATAGATAGATAGATAGATAGATAGATAGATAGATAGATAGATAGATGTACTTTATTTATCCCAAGCTGGGAAATTGCAGTGTAGCAGCAGCTTTACACATAGTGACAGTCACAACACAATAAGATAAGAAAAAGTAAAAATAACATAACATCCACACGTATTTACATTATAAGGGTGCAGTGAACAGTCCTGAGGTGCAGTGAACAGATTATAAATAAGTATTAAAATATGGAGTGCAGTACAGTACAGTGCTGGTTACTGTATGCTGAAACAAGAGTTTATTTTTTATTGTACAATATGCTGAAACAAGGGTTTATTTTTTATTGTACAATATCTACATAAATTGATTATTTGATCATTTTTTATTTAAATAGTTATTTATCTTTGATTTTACTGAAGACTCTTAGATGACTTGCAGAAACACATATTTTTCACTTTGCCCTACATAACACAAAATCTAGTTATGAAAAGAGCATGAATTCTGTACTTATCATCTTTGATGTTAGTATATTGTTGTGTATCATTAAACACAAAAAATTAAAATGTTTTGAATATTCCACTTGAGAGTATTACTGTTGCCACCATCTGTATTAAAAGGGGAAAAAATGGTGGGGTGGCCATGGCCTCCTGCTGTCCTCTATCTTGTCTGCTGTCATGATTCATGCAGCTATTGTTTCATGCAAATGAAAAATGGAAAACAGATAAGCAGACCATGGCTTGAAGGACTGGGTTATTTACCTTTTTAGAAACACAGGAATGAGCAATCAGCTATGTGAGCTTAGTGCTTGGGAAAAATCTTTCATTCCTTTTGAGACAGCATGAAAAGGCAGCAGAGTACAAAACCTAGAGAGGAAAAAAAGAAAAGAGACAAGAGATGGACAAAACCTGGAACAAATAATGGATGTCTATTCTATTAACATTTCTCTATCTGTATAATGGGTCTGTTTTATGTGTTGTCTTCTCAATTCAGAGGGCCCCCTGCCTGTCTTTGCCTAAGTCCGCCCCTGGTTGTAGGCACATAATTTGTCATATGAAATGAGGGAACCAAAGGGTTGTTTACTGCCTGGAAACCTCACATCAAGCAGGTGAAAAGCTGTGATCATATCTCAATATTCCTGAAGTTAAAGGTAGCAGCCGAATTTTTACATCACTGTCAAAATAGGTCTGTAAAGGTCAGGGGCGGAGCTAGATGGGGGGGCCAGGGGTTGCCATGGCCACTCATAGCCAATCTATGGCCACCCCTACCATTTATTTCTCTTTAATTCAAATGGTGGCAACAGTAATACTCTCAAGTGGAATATTCAAAACATTTTAATTTTTCATATATTAACAATTACTTAACAGCAAAACAATGTGGTTAATTATGCACATCAATATAGTAACATTAAAAATGATAAGTACAGAATTCAAGCAGAAATAGATTTTGTGTTTCATGGGGTAAAGAGAAAATGTGTCTCTTCAAGTCATCTAGGAGTCTTCAGGGAAATCATAGATAACTGTTTTAATAAAAACATATTGAATAATCAATTTATATAGATATTGTAAATATCAACTTTATGCAGAGTTATTGATAAAAGTAGGTAAGTAATGACAATGGAAAAGATGTTCGCCCCACAACTCAAACCTGATAGAATTTTATCCACTATACCTTTTACTTAGAAAGCACAGATGTTTAAATATATGTTTCTATTTGTTGGCAAAGTCTGTAGGAAAGTATAGTTTGTCTTTATTTAGAAAATATGGATGTTTTGCTCGTTAATTTTCCTGTTGGAAGAATGTAGATTGAAAGTGAGGTTCAGGTGCCTATCTACTTTCGGCCACCCCTCAGTGTACATTGGTTAATGCCTGGCCACCCGTATAAACATTTTCTGGCTACGGCTCTGGTAAAGGTTTTAAAAAAACCCAGATAAAAATCATGTGATTTTTGTGTCAGTCTTTAATTTCCAATAATATAATCAATTTAGTATTCTATCTTAAATGCAGGGGGCCTAACGGGGGACTGGCCCCTGTAGAACAGGTCCTGATTGGGCAGATAATTTCAGCTAAATTGTGAATTTCTCTCAGCAGAAACGTATAACCCAAGGTCATATGCGTCACTCTCTTGCTTTCAACATTCTCACATCCCTTTTTCTCATCTTGCTTCCATTGAAGACCCTCTGACTATTAAAACCTTTTTCAGAAATCATACTCTAACTGCTGTTTTATACTTTCTTCTACTGAACAGCATCCTTGATATGATTTATATCACATCCTTTATTCTATAGTCCTTGACTGACTTGAAGAATGATATTAAAATGTGTCATCCGTTGTCCTATGCTGGGATTTTCCAGCGATTCAATTAACTTCACAGGACAGGTTTTGATTTGGGAGCCAGGCACCCAACAGGTTTTAAATTTACCCCCCTTGCGTGCCTTTCTCATACCTCTACATTTTGTATCAGCTTGGCAGTAAAGAATGGTAATTATATTGAGTAAAATCATTGATTTCCTATTTAATTTAAAAGTGCCCTTTGTAGAAATGCCCTACACTTAACAGAAAGGCCAAGTCCAAAATACTTAAAAGTTCTTTTTCGTCTGAAGTCCCCAATTAAGTTCAAAGAATAAAAAGAATGTATCGAAGAACCAAACCTAAAGGATCACTGGCTGTTAAACCCACACACACATTTACCTGTACAGGTAAAGATGATGAATATAACTAATGCAGAGATGGTTTCAATAATTAAAGATGGCCAACCTCTTGAAGCACCTAATCCCTTTGACACAACTAAAGCTTGATCTAAATAGAATTCATGGTTTTACAATTTCAAAAATCGATATAAATAAACCAAGTATTTATATATAGAAAAAAAAAGACAAATTTATTCACAATTCAGACTTTATTTTGGAAAATAACTCAAATACAAAGGTCAATTCTACAGATGAGATGCATTCAAATGTTGCATAGGCACGTTTTGTTGATTCTGGGAAAGCTTGATTTGAATTCCAATTGTTGTATTCCTGTAAGAGAAATAAAATTCAAATTGGAACATAGCAACGGTTAAAACAGGAGATTATAAAGCAACAGTAGCCTCAGATAAAAACTTTAAATCAGGAGCTGGATGCTCTCATACGAGGTGTCAGAAAAATTTATACTGTCATCACTGGCTGCATAGTTTACGTGCAAATACACAGCTTAGGAGTTTACCTTCAGCAAAGTCTCTCAATGAGCTGTGATCTTCTATCGACTTCCAAGCTATAAATGGGGAGAAAAATGCTTTGGTTAGAATAGAAACAATGCATATTAAATATTAAAAGGTAGTAAAGTAGCCTCAGAATAAAGTCAGAATCAGGAGCTGAAGATCAGCTCTCATAGTAGGTGTCAGAAAAGTTTGTTTAGCTTGTCATCACAGGCTGAAATAGAAAACCACAATAAAAAAAAAAGTCTCACCAGCTGCTCCACAGAGATTATAATCCCAGGATTATTCCATCATCGTTGGATTGAATTCATCCAGTGGAGACATTTTTATGCAGACACCATCAGCAATACTTTTTTTGTCATCTTTCAGTCTGTGAAAAAGAAACAATGAGAAACCTGATTATTTAAAGTTAGATAACTGAAAATAAACCTGAAATAAACATCTTAAAAACAAAACTAAACAGAACAGCTATATTATTGCTTTATTGCAGGCAGCTGGTATTACATGCTGTCTTAATGTGTTAACTTAAACAGTATATGAAGAATTGCATCATAGTTTTTTAAAAACAGCATTTTTCCCCCCCAGTTACAACAGTTTTACCTAAACCATGATGGGTGTAGCTCTACAGTCCACGTGTTAAACCGTTAAACAAAAGGAACAATAGTGGTGTCTAGAAATGGTTCCTCTAAAATCATTACACAACTTTCTGAAAATGTGTCGATTGATCAAATCACAATGAAAAAACGAAATTCTATATAAGAACAGCCAAAACCGAACAGTGGGTTCTGCTCCTGCAGGGCAGCCACGTGTTTACTGCGCCACGTTAACTAAAGAAACTCCCTTTATGAAAAATTCTTGCAGTTATTTTATCCCCTGCTCTACTGACTCCCGTCATTAGACGACAGAAATGAAAATATCCATATACGAATTTTTAAATCGGTGTAGTGATGTTAAGTGAGCTCCGACCTCTTTCCATGTCGCTGCAAAAAGAAAGACCACTGCAAACCGCAGCGATAACAGCTTCCCGGCTTCCGTATCAAGCTCCTCCCCGCGTACGTAATGACGGCTGAGCGCGTGCGATTTTACATGATTGATGGATTTATTCTCTAAAAACCGCTGAATATAGAAACTAATTCACTAGATAGTTAATTTTGGTGATATCAACTATCGTTTGAACGAAGTACATGAGTGCATACACGTTTAAAGACTACGACAGCTAATGAAACAACAGCTAATGTACTTAGTAGCGGACTCTCAATGCATCATGGGAGTTGTAGTTTTTTAAGCTTAAGTCATTGATTTCTGCCTTTAAATGCTATCCAGATGAGTCAGAAACCATCTATCTATCTATCTATCTATCTATCTATCTATCTATCTATCTATCTATCTATCTATCTATCTATCTATCTATCTATCTATCTATCTATCTATCTATCTATCTATCTATCTATCTATCTATCTATCTATCTATCTATCTATCTATCTATCTATCTATCTATCTATCTATCTATCTATCTATCTATCTATCTATCTATCTATATAAAACTGTTTTCTAACCCCTCGTGGGGTGGTATGTGTCATCCTCAAGCTCGGGTCCTCTACCAGAGGCCTGGGAGTTTGAGGGTTCTGCGCAGTATCTTAGCTGTTCCTAGGACTGCGCTCTTCTGGACAGAGACCTCTGATGTTTTACCTGGAATCTGCTGTAACCACTCTCCCAGTTTGGGGGTCACAGCCCCCAGTGCTCCAATTACCACTGGCACCACTGCTGCTCTCACTTTCCACATCTTTTCTAGCTCCTCCTTTAGTCCTTGGTATTTCTCAAGCTTCTCGTGTTCTTTCTTCTTGATGTTGCTGTCGCTTGGGATTGCCACATCTATCACTACTGCCTTCTTCTGATGTTTGTCGATCAACACGATGTCTGGTTGGTTAGCCATCACCTGTTTCTCATCATCAAATTGATGAGATATATATATATATATATATATATATATATATATATATATATATATATATATATATATATATATATATATATATATATATATATATATATATATATATATATATATATATATATATATAGAGTGAGAGAGAGAGAGAGAGAAAGTTTCCATTAAAAGAACTAATGTCACAACAAGATCTAGAGAAACTCAATCATGCTTGTATCTTGAGTCACATTGATTACTGGAACAATGTCTTGACGGGTCTGCAAAAAAAAACAACAACAAAAAAACAAAAGCAATCAGACAGCTGTAATTAATCCTAAATTCTGCTGAACATATTCTCACTAGAACACCCTGGTTTTAAAGTTCTTACGCTGGCTACCTCTTGCTCAGAAGATAGACTTTTAATACTTTTTTAGTTTATCAATGGCTGTAAATCAAATGGTTTAACATCACAATGCATTAAAGACTTCTGGTTCTAGTCTATTCTATATTCCCAGAACCAAACACGGTAAAGCAGTTTTTATTTTTATTTTTAAAACTTACATTTTAATAGATTTTTGAAACAAAGCAAATATACAACCATACAACACCAATAATTATAATTTTTAACAATGTGAAAGTATACCACATATTTAACATCTCTGCATGACATATTACAATTACAGCATCATAATTGTCTATCCCTGCATTACCAAATAAACCTTACACAAGAGCCCACCTTAGATGGAAGGGCTAAGTACCATAATCCAAAAGCATAGGTTGTAGAACTCGATCACCAAGGTAGATCTTCCAGTCTTAGCATTGCCTGAAAGAGCATTTTTGAAGTCTTAATAAGTATGTTATCTCTTCCATTTGGTACAATTGCCTTATTACTTGGACCTATCAGTTGTAAGAAGGTAGCTCTAATTGCTTCCACTGAATTTCAGGGCTGTGTAAAAAGAGCATTTAAAATATATGATTTGGCTTGTCCTTGTAATTCAACTAGAAAGATACCGAGTAATACAACTGTAACATCCCTTTGGATTAGCTGGTTCTGGATCTGGTTTATAGCCCTGTACACGTCATTCCAAAAGTTTTGTAATTTGGGGCATGACCAAAACATGTGTTTGATGAGGAATTGCTAAGGAGAGGCAGTTTGTATGCACCTTTACACCGGAAGAAACTCTCAGAAAACTGCAGAACAGCCAGAACACTACATTCCTTAAAGAAGGAGCCCGGTACTGGGCCCTTTTGACACCTTCCTATGTTGATCTATTTACCGAAATGGTTAAAACACAGTCACATGGTGTTTCGTCCACATGCCTTTCAAAATGGGGCTTTAAAATTTCTAAAACATATCTCAAAATTATCTTTTCACAAACACTTTTTGTTTTATAGCTGTGTAGACAAATTTAAAGAGATTTAAATTTCCATCTGACATGTCAGATGCAACAGCAGATATTAATTTTTAGCCACACCTCCTAATGGCTGGCATCATTGGAAACTAGAGGCTCAGACCTTTTCGACTTTCAGGTGATGTAACTGGCATACAATACCTAAGTTTGCTCTGTTATTCTTATTTTCTATTCAGTTTGGTGATATTACTGGTAAACTTCAATGAAACAACAGCTAAATCTTAGGAGCAAAGGCTTTGTCTTCTGCAGAAGGTCTCCAATAATATAAATCAGCATATTTTTCTGGCCAGATTCCATTTTATGAGTGGAAAATGCATTTGGCACAAAACTGTGCCAAAATCACATTTCCGCCTAGCACACTGCCCACTAAAACCTTTTTGGAACAAACATGCTTCAATCTATTGAGTCCAAATTAGCTTGAGTTATGGTCAAAGTGTGGATTTATAAAGTCTGAGAGTTCATCCAGAGTTTCAAATGGGTTTTCATGGTGTTTATTTTGGAAAAAGCTTTGACTAGGCTAAATATTTTTCATTTTTTCTTTGTTTAATCACCTGTAAATCAGACATGATGACATACAAGCAATCATATTTCCAATTTATAGTTTGGGAGCTGTACTTGCTTTAAGTCACATATGTAATTTGCTCCTAAGACCCTCTGGGCTTAAGGGGTTAAATCAAGGCTAAAGACCCATCTCTCCAGCGCTGTCTTTGATTAGCAGTCTAGAAACAAATGCAGAAGAAAAGCTGCTCTGAACAAAATATGTTATTACACATGGAACACCTCCCTGATTATCATGTGTATCTGATGATTTTGTGTGAAGTTTTGATAATTTGCTGTGAAGTTACTTGATTTTTAAAAATGATTTTAATGGAGATTTGATCTGATGAGTAGCTGAAATGTGCTATACAAATACATTTTTAGTTAATTACTTTAATTTATACAAAAAAAAAATCTAAAATATCAACCAAATACCTCAAGCTTTTCAGGTCTTAATGTGACAGGAGGTTAAATAATTCTCAGCATATGACTACTCAGCGCAAGACTTCAATGAAAACTGTTGGAAAAGCAGGAAAGTATGCCATATCTGAAAGAATGAAAAAAATAAAAGAGTCACATTTGGTTTAATTTATACATTTATTCTGATGACAGATGTACAGGAATGCATCGTCACAGCAGAAACACCCAACTAAACCCAACCATGACACAACAGCCGTCACATCACATCCTGAACTCAACCATAAATACACAGGCTCAAATCAGCTCAGCTCCATTCAATGTTTAACATCATTGTGATCATCATCATCATCATTATTATTATCATTAATAGTTTTATTATTCACATAGAACTGTCTCTCAAATATATCTCTGTTTTCAAAGAGCATAAAAATACAAGTGGACTTCACTGGGATGAAAGCTGGTCTGGGGGAGATCACTGAAAACAAGGAACTCTTGGAAGAGTGGAGCCAACTTATCACAGCTTACAGAGCTTATAGAGGGCTGCATACGGGGAGGATTTCATTTTAGTAGTTGTAGAGGACTGACAGATCAACTGAGAAGCTACTTTCTTACAAAACGGACACAGAGGGGGTTTAAAGGGACCATCAACATTTTTAGTAGACAGCAATCAAAACAAAACAAAATTAAAGAATATATAAAGTAGAGTAAGAAGGCACAGAGATTTGCAGTTTTTCCAAATTAGACATAGATTTAAAATAATATAGGGAAGAAGAGAAAGAAGTTGGGGAAATTAAGGGCAGCTTCACTAACCAACAATAGAGGGAGCTCTAACAGCTCAAATATCCAGATCTACTTTAAACTCTGAGTCTTTTTTTTTACTGTATGTACTATATAAAGCATTGAAATATAGGAGTATTTTCTGAAAACACTGTTCACTGCTGCAGGACAAAGGGATATACCACATGGGTGCATGTGTCTTTGCATGTATTCCCCATGAATCATTTCCAAACAGTCCTTCCACACATGATAGATAAACACCAACAACACCAGAAATATTTAAACCAATGTAAGTTCCACCGGTGTATATATGTGTGTGTGCGTACATGTGCTTGTCTGCATTCTTAGAAATTCATGGATACGGATGTGTTTGGTTGGTTTGATAGATCGGGGTGGGAAAAAGAGGAAACTGACGGAAGCATATAAAGCAGGGACAACGCACACTTGAAACAACAACAAAGCCAGCGATAACAGCAACGGCACCAACAACGACGTGAACAGAGAGGACACGCGGGACGGGAATCCTCCACTCACACAGAGGAGGAAGAGAGGCTACAATTCATCTGGAGAAAAAGGGCAGTTCTCTACTCTGGTTGGAGTCGTCAGACAGCGGCCTGTCATTCTGTGTGCTTTTTGAAAAAAACAAACAAAAAAAACCCAAAAAAACATCCCAATGTTTTCTACCAGGTTTTCTATCTGCCTGTCAGAATATTTATGTGCTCAGCTTTGTAGGTAATATCTGTTCATCTCAGAGTCTGTCCTTGCAGGCTGGTCCAAGTCAGATTGCACAGATAAAAGGATACGCGAAGTGATTGTGCTTGTCGGTCCACGCTGCCGTGTTAGGCTGGGTGGAGGCATCGCTTTTTGGGCTGCAGAGGTCAGCGGTTGTGTTGGGAGCAGCGTCCTCGCAGCAGAAACATAAATCCCCCTCCGCAGTACCTCTGGAGGTTACTTCGGAAGTTCTTGCCAACAGAACGAGGGACACACTTAAATTTGCAGTGTGAAAAACAGCGGCACGTAGCCTTGGGGAAGATTTCTTCGTCAACCTACAGGTGATGAGGGGAAAAGACCTTGTTGGAATGCAGAGTATGTGGACAGAAGATCAGTCCAGCATGGCGTCCAGCTGGTCTGCCAAATCATCAAACATGCTGCCAATGTCGTCCAGGATGGAGACTGTTGCTTTTTTGCTGAAACAGAGAATTAAGATGGGAAATATATATAAATATATTAGAGATGTTCCATAATATCAAGCAGCCGATATTATCAGTCAATATTAGCATAATTATGTGATATCTGTCCATATTCTTATCGGGTTCCCCCCGATAATTAAAAGCAGATAATATAATGCCTAGACTTTGAGAAATATGTTGAAGCGAGCGCTCTTGCCAACACGCGACGCTCCCTCATGACGTCTTTAAACCGCGCCAGACGGCCAACTGTGTAGCAGCAGCAAAGCTAAACTGTAACGAAAAATGTCTGCGGTGTGGAACTTTTTTAAAGTTTCAAATGATGACTTGAAGTTTGCAATTTGGAACGAATGTGAGGTCCTTGTCATGCGTGGGGGAACCAAGACTTTGTCCTTCAACAGCGATACTACACTGGACTTCATTTGTGTTTACATTCAATTCTGTGCAATACAGATGTACTGGTGAGGTACACTTTTTTCCTATTTGTGAAGAAAAGAGATTTATCTCTTGTTTAAATATTCATTGTCAGGTTAATCTCAGGAAAAGCATATTTCTAAATGTTGTTTGAGACAGTGTTGAAAATAAATGTCCAATTCTGCATTTTCCTGATGTTGAAATGCTTTTTTTTCCTCTACAATGGTAATTATTTGTGGAATATACAGTGTGTAGTGGGGCAAAACAGTAAATGTAGGTTATGCTAAAATTTTGTGACTGGCATGTTGTGAAATGAGTTTATTTCGGTATCGGCTTATATCGGAATCGAAAATTCATCATTTGGAATATTGGCATATCGAATATCGGCAAAAAAGGCAATATCCAGCATCCCTAAAATATATATAAAGTCACAGTTCTTGAATCATTCAGTTATTTTCTTGACAAAGCTTCCTTTCAGTCCTTTCAGAGACAAAGGTTGAATAAGCAGTAGAATAATAATCAAAGGCAGATATTTGCTACAACTAAACAGATGGATGGATGAAGAAACATATGTATGGCTAAATGGGCTGCTGTTTTTGATTTAAACAAACCTTTCCTGAGCTGGGAAATACTGGAATAAAACTCTCCAGACAGTCGGAGACTTTTCAGTGAGCCTGGACTGATGGCTACACTAAAACCAAAAGCCATACCAGGGGTACAATTAGTGATATAACCAGACCTTTGATACTGTCCAACAGACAGATGTACCAGGGTCAGTTGTTTGTTGCAATACATGAACTAAAAGATGCTTGCAAGACTTTTAGCCATCTCCTTTAATGTTAACAGATTCATTGGTTGACTGCTGAGACAGTTAGATAGTAAAGAAGCGTGTGTGTTAACATTGCATTGAAAGAACGTATCAGGCCTAAAAGATAATTGGATTATTGTTAATTTATGTGTTAACCTTTGCAGCACTACTTGCAGGTATTTTTTTTTTTACTTTCATATTTCAAAGTCACTTCAAGACACTACAGAGGCTTTTTTTTCTGGAACAAATATTTTGTTCTTCTAATAACAAGATTTGTACCTTTTTGTTTCTATTATATTCTTATCAAGATTGATATTATGAGTATTTTTATGAGTTTTTAATGTATTAAATGTATTTTATGATTCTGACTTTTTTGGTCCCCCGCTTTACACTTGGTACAATATTCTGGCGGTGCTCGGTAAAATACTCACCTGACATTTAACTTTCATAGTGCAATAAAAGAGTTTCCACCCCTTTGATGTTAGTGACATCATGGATCTCTGCTTCATTAATACTTACTCGTTTGGCCTGTCCTCCTCTTTGATTTTATGCTCCACAGTCTGCAGAGCTGCAGCCAAGGAGGCGCTGGTCTCCTCCAAACGATGCTGAATTGTCTCTTCTTGCCCTGCTTCCGTCTCCTGGCTCTCCTCTTTTGCTTCTTCTCTCCTCAAAGGCTTCCTATCCAGCTCTCTCTGGTTCCCATCCTCTGCTCTCTTCCTCTGCTCCTCCTCTTCTTCTGCTTTCCTCTGATGCTCCCTCTCTCTTCTCCTCTCCTCTTCCTCCTCAGCCTCCCGTACTCCCGTCAAGTCAATGGAGAGGCCAGCGATGGAGGAGCGGGGAGGTTTGACAGGGTGTGGAGACGGAGTGGAGGGACTCTGGGCTGGAGAGGTGGAAGTGAGAGGGAGTCCAGGAGAGAGAGATGGAGCAGAGGGGGTGTCAGGAGCTGGAATAGGGGCAGCTGCCAACGGAGAGGAGGGTCTGGGCGCCGGAGTTGGACTGGTTGCAGCCGGGCTAGTAGCAACAGGGCTTGGGCTCATTGCAGCTGAAGACGCAACTGCTTTACCAGGTTTGGGCGCCGTTGGAGGCCCACGGGGTTTTGGGGATACAGGAGGTGGGACACGCTTTGACTCTGGTAACAGAAACATCAAAGATAAAATGATTTAATACACAACATGAATTTAATCAATTAAAGCAGCCGAAGCGTAGACATTTTTACGTTGTCTAAAACATTTTTTAGACGTGTTATCTAAAAGTCTTTAAAAACTTTTTTTGGGGGGCTGGTACTTCTTTTTACGTTCATACCTCCATGTATATATATATAAAAAAACGCTAAAAACCTAAAATGCCATTTCAACTCTAAATTTTTCAAAGAGCTGAAGTTGAAATGCTATTGATTTACAGTGATTGGCTATAATATATATATATATATATATATAATATAATAATTACAAATGTTATCAATGCGTTAGTTGTTGCCATATAGCCTAGTTGTTTAGTAAGATGAGTTCACAAATCAGAGTTGTAGTTTCTTTGGGGTAGTAGATTCAATGTTAAACCTCTATTCCACAATGAAAGTGTGAGGAGAATCAGGACTCTCCTGTTTACTTTTGTTTAAAAAAATATACAAATCAAATAGCTTTACTTATTTATTTAGTGGCATTTTTATGTTAAAGTTCTTTAAAGATGGTCTAGAATTTGTAGCAGGTGGTTCTACGCATCTATACATCAGGTGGCTTCTAAAAGTTACAGGGTTCTCTAAATTACTCTGAATATAGATATAGAGAAATGTACTGATATCGGAAAATTTAAGTCACACTTTGTAATACTTAGGTATTTTCAAAAGTGAATACTTCAGTTCTTTATTTTTTAAAAGACCTGCCCTCTTCACATGCTAGAGCATGCACAAGCCCATTTCTTCTTGTGCACACCCTCTGTAAAATGTGCTGTTCTCATAACTCATACAAGCTTACTGTCTTAACATACCGCAGGGACCTTTAAGTGGACTTTATAGGAACTCAGTTAACTGACTATTCGGACAGATGATCACTGCTTTTTGCTCCATTGGTCAAGTAACTCCTCCTTCACCACAGCCTGCCTGCACCATCTTTGTTAATAGTCTCCAATGTCAGGTAGCGACAGCCTATGGTGACAGCGGGCCACTGTGACAGCAAATCCCATAATGCTTTGCGAGGAGAGCTCGCAGCAAAGCATTCTGGATCAATCCGCCTCTTCTGAGGCCTTTCTTTTCTTCTCATACACTTCGTAGACACTATTTCTCTTATGACCCTTGACCATTTTCAAAGAACCACAGTGAGAAAGGTGAGCTTCAGTGACTGAAACCGTAGCTCACAACAGATACATGCCTGAAAGTGCACATGCGCAGAAAAAGATAGCTAACGTGGTGAGCACGTAGGACGGCCTTACATAAACATATCACCAGACTGATTGGCAATTACGAGGACCACTTATTTAGATATTCCACACGTAAATAAAATATTGTCCTCTATACCGCTAAGTGCTATAGTTAAGTACTTTGTCCACCACTGGTTTGGCATTTATATTATATATTTTTACTTAATTTTCTAAGTCTGTACAGAATCTTTTAATTTGCCTTTTTCTGTTGTTTTGTCCTCTGTGTGCTGCTTCCGTCCCGTCATGCTAAGCTGCTGGAATTTGAATTTCCCACAAGGAGTCATCCCGAGGGATAGATAAAGCCAAGTCTAAGTCTAATCATTATATTTTACCTTTAAAAAAGTGCGAAAGTGTGTTGTTGCATCTTGATACAATCAAACTGCAGCCATTATCCTTATGCATTGTGCCAATTTTTATGAACTGACAGAAAGTAGAGATCTCTTTGCACCCGTTGTTGGATCATAAACAGAGAATGGCAAAGACCTGACCTCAATCAAAAGACAATTCTCTGGGCTTTATGAATGCTTTCTTTAAAAGACAACATGAAGGCCTGACTCAGTAGGTGCATCAGAGTGTAGTCATGTTTTTTGTTCTCACCAGGGCTCTGTGCTGGCTCAGTGTTTTCAGGTCCAGGAATGGGGACTCTTCGGGTCGGAGTTGGTGGGTCTGCCTGAGTCTTTCTCAGGACTACTGAGGAAGGTTTGGGTGAGACCGGTGGCTTCAGGGACTTCCTGGCTTCCATCCACTCACATGTCTCCCTGCTGGTGTCTGTCTTCTCTGAGACCTCAGATGCTGGCCTCCGTCTCAGCACCACGCCGCCATTCTGCTGCGGTTCATCCACCTTTTTCCTAGTGCCGTCTGGGGAGTTTGATTGATTATTCCTGCAAGTGACAGAATCAGTTTGCTCTGTCGTACGTGGCCGCCTTCGTATTGTTTCCGAGCCGGTTGTCATGGTGACCACAGTAGTAGCCATTGATGAGGGGGCTTCAGAGTCTGTTGATGGAGGACGTTGTTTCCTCCTGAGGGTCGCTGTTCCATTGTTGATCTCTGATGCTGAGGTGACCACAATGGAGCGAGGTCGTGGCTCTGGACGTTGCTGTACTGGTTGCTGAGGTAACTGGTCAGAATGCTCATCAGGGAGGCTTTCAAGACCACTGATAGTCCTGCAGCGATTTGAGACATCGTCCTCGGATGCTCCTAGACCTCCAGCTCGTGCCTGCCGGCGGAGCAGAGGAGGACTCGCCTAAAAGGCACGTGGTTGTTACAAGAACTTCTTGCATTAGGTTGAAAATGTAAAATTCCAACTTTTTATAGACTCACCTGCAGGAAGTTAGTGCCACTTCCCACATTCCTTGGCACCATAGATGTTTCCAGCATGGCAGCGAGGCTGCGAACACTCCCAGAACCCCCCTCTGATCTCTGAAGGCCTGTAGACTCCTGAGCCCTTAAAGCTGCTCCCAAGCTGCCGCAGTCACTCGCTCGCCTCTCTCGATACGTCGGCAGCCCCAAAAGCCCCACCCCTTGTCCTTCAACTTCACCATCACCGCCGGTGATGGAAGAACAGGAACGCTTTGGAGGTGTAGGAGGCCGACCTTTTCGACGAGGACGCAGGGTGACGGATGACTGGCTGCGGTTAACAGTGACATCATTAGGGCCAGTGGTGTGCGTGGAGCTGCTTCGGCACACGGTTGCATAACGGGAGTCAGATTCTGAGCCGATAAGGCTGTGCGTCCTCCGCCGTTCCTCTTCCTCACATGGCAGCCGCAGTAGCGGCACAGGTGTATCAGCGTTGGAAGTCTGGGTGGACGGCCGAGGGCGAGCTCTCGGGGAGGCCTGCTGGTTTCGGGCATGTGGAGGGGTTTGTGGCGGCGTCTGAGTGGGTGTGTGGGGAGGCGTCTGTGAAGTTGGGAGACCTGGGCGAGGTTTGGCCAAGGGGCTAGCAGTGCCCTCCCTCAGCTTCATTGCCTCTCTTCGGGACTCCAAGGAGGTGCTCCTTGCTGGGCTGGAAGGAGCTGAAGTGGGACTCTGAGGAGGTTCAGAGCCACTTTCTCCTCTTTGTAGCTCCTTCAGTCTTTTTACTCCCAACATCATTTTCTTCTGATGTCCTGAGGGACAACAGGGGTGTAATAGAGAAGAATCAAGAAAAGTTTAGATATTGCAGTCCCTAGCAATGGTAGTTATCAGTTTTGTTACCTTTCCACTTTTCATTTGGTTAGAACAGAAATTTCTGTTTATTTCAATGCATAGTAGAACACAACTTGGATCTAAAAGGAAACGGATGTATGCTTTGCATTTAGATAGACCTAGATAGGAGAAATTGTCTAATCTAATCTCACTAAATCCAAATTTTCTGTAAAGGCCGCAAGATCATAAATATCATCAGCTTCAAGGTAAAATCGTAGGCTGTGGGAGTTACAACAGGGTCAGGCAACCAAATATGCTGTGTTGAACCCTCCTGATGAAAAGTTTTCATTTGTCATCCAGAAGTTAAATGGCTTTGCACCACCACAGTCCTACAAAGACATGGCTGTTTCACTTCTCTCACAAAGTGGCCAAGTAGAGCATTAGTGGAGAAGCAACAAAAAGGCCAACGGTGCTTTTGGAGAGGCTGCAGGGATCCACACCTGCGGTGAGCTAAGGTTGTTAACAGGACAGTTGGGTACTTGCTATAATTCAAGTAGCAGAAAAAACTACCCATTAGGAAAAAAATCCAGAGTCATCTTCTAAGTGAACAACAAGGCGACAGAAGTCCCCTATGAAGTACATTTATGCTTGTGGTTGTAACTTGCAACTTGTAACAAAGCTTACCAAGCTTAGAGATGCCAATCTCTTGCAGGTCTTCAAGGCTGATGTCTGAAACAAAGTCAATGTTTTCATACCCATTCTGGACCAGAACTTGATAGTATTGGCTTAGACCAAGGTGCGACAGCCAGTCCGCCAGGTTGGCCTAAATAAAACACAGGTTACTGGTCAGAAAACAAAAGAAAAAACGACTAAAGTCTTGGAAAAAAAAACCTCTAAAAGATCCAAAGAAAACCATTAAACAATAATATATTACAGAGTTTTTAAAAAAAATCTATATTTTCAGCAGGGAAACTGTAAATAAATGTGGCTTCCAAAGATCCATATCCTGAACTGAAAATCTTACAGGCTTGTGATCAGGCAGCCAGTCTGTGGAGGGAAGCTTGCTGATTTCTGTCAGTAGTTTCTTTCTGTGTCCAGGCTTCATGACGCCGATCGCTGTCAGGTCCTGAAACAGATAAAGACTTCATCACATTAGGAACACTGACACTGAAGCGGCCTGTTTGTAACATGAATGAGATCTGATGCAAGTTTAACGTTATTACGCGAGTTTCACACAACATGCCTTTTAGAATGTTTTGGTAAATCTAACCATTAATAAGAGTAGATTATGAAAAAAAAAAATAGTGCTGTAAAATTATACTACTCTGAGCAAAATTGTTTGTATGCTGATGTAGTGATATCCAACTTTAAAATGAAGCTTAGTGAATGCATTCAAAGGATATGCATTCCCATGTATATAATTTGTTCATGTAAATTACAGGTAGAACACAGTATTTGTGATTCTCAAAAGGAAAATAAATGTTTGTGTCCAATAACTTGAATGGAAAAAGTACTGTCTTCTGAAAACTGGTTGTTACCTAACTGACGAAAATGGGATCATTTTTCATCAAGTAAGTGAACGCTACAAACGGAAGTTCAAACTGCTCCTGCAAGCACTTTCAGGTTTGATATATTGCTTTGCAGGGGCTCATATCTTTATTCACATAACTTCCACCTTCAAAATATTGTCTGCATTTTCATGAAGCTACACACAAAAAAAAACAGGTTTGCGCTCCCTGACTGCAGACCATTAAAACTCATTGTCTGTCTGCTTTTTGGCTCCTTTTCCATTGTCACTTTCACTTTTGCCAGCTTTACAATACAGCAAACCCGTTGGGTCATAGCAAGTTTAAGAGTAGAAGGGGGGTTACATTACTTGATAATTAGACATGCTATTGTTTAGACAAAAAATGAAAATACAGAATAAATAATCAAAAGTTTATTCATAAAAAAAAAAATTGCAAATCACAAGCAACACACCTTCTTTAAAGATGTGAATGGACTTTCACATCCTTTTACATTTTTAGGAAGTAAAATATGCATTTATTTTCATCTATATGTTTTTTTCCTGCCCTTTCGGTGTCACAGAAGGAATAAACTACTATCCTGTGCAAAAGTAGGTGCATATTTTTCACATCAATCAGACAAATGTTTTAAAATAAGTAGAAATGTCTTTAAAAAGTGTATTTACCCTTAATTTCAGTAGGTAAATTAAATGGCCTGCCAATGGAATGAATATTTTTACCCTTAAAATAAGATAATGTCATAAACTCAGCACTGATGCTGGTCTGATTACTGATTTCACGTATCTGCTTAGCTCCGCCCAGTTCTCATTACCCTCTATCTGACCAACCTGCATCAGTCTCTATTTAACCAGCCTTTAGACCAGGCATCGGGGCCAGATTATTTAGAGCTGTTGGAGAGACTTATTCTAGCATTCCCGTGTTCTCATTACCTGATCCTGACCTGTTCTACCTCTCAACCTCTGAGCCTGCCTGTTCCTGTCTGATCTGTTTGCCTGACCTGTCTTCTGACTCCTGCCTGATCTGTGCCTGTTTGTGTACCGTACCTGGAACTGTGACCCGGCTCCGTCCTGGATTCTTGCTTGGCACCTCACCGTATCTCTGACATCCTGGCTCTGATGACCGACCATGTCACCGACATCGGCTTTGGTATTGCCCTCTGGATTATCCTGCCTATATTCTGATCTCCTGCCTTTCCTCTGACCACTGATATATCAGCATCTGGGACTCAGAAATTGCCTCACTCATCCGCTCAGTTTAAGAGAAAATGCACTTATTTGAACAGTTCAACTGCCTTGTTAACCTCCAGTCTGCATTTTGCAGAGCAACTGGTCAACAATTTGGTTTATTAGGCAGTTACAGGGTTAAGTTTTTAGTAGTGATATCGATATTTGCTACATCTTCAGCGCAACCCTGCAGTGCAAAAATCAAGTCACTAGGGTGTGCAAAAATTGAATTGCTGTGCAAATTTTCCCAAACCTCTATACCAGGCTGGACCATATGTAAAACAGGACACAGACGCTGAAGACTTACTGACATGAGGCCCAGGACCCACACCACAGACAGAAGGGCCACGATGACATGATCCAGTTCAACGATGGATGGATGGAAAGGTGTTAGAAAGCGCTGTTGGTCATGACCTTACCTCAGGGGTCATGTGGCTAATGGTGTCTAGATCATATCCTGCTGTGAGGAAGTGAGTGGTGTAGAACTGCAGCTGAAACTCTCCCAGCCACGTCACCACTGCCTGCTTCTACAACACAAAACACAGGACACTACTGACTGCTCCCAATGGACAAACCAGTGATCCTCTAGAGCACAGAGAAGACAGATGTGAGAAGACATCTTCCTTTTAGGGTTCACTGAAGAACATAAGGCGTTTCTTAATTATAATTTGGTATAAACTTAGGTTACCAGCTTTGCTTCACCAGCTGAATGCAGATGTTCAAACCCTGATTCAGTGCTCAGTTTCAGCTGAGCAGCTGTCTGTGGGTGTCTCAGAGTGTTGTGGCAGCAGGGGCGTGTAGGCGGATGGACATAAGGTGAGACAGCATCTGTCACTCTGCCTGTCTCCATGGTGACACTTCCTCATCCATTGAAATTCACCCACTGAACCCCAATATTGTGAAGTGCATTTCTCCCATTCCAGTGACAATCTCAGGAGATTCAGATGCAAACTGAGAAAAAAAAGAGTTTGTCTTTAAGCATTACTCACTTTCCCATCATCCTCCTCGGCCTTGCGCTCAAAAGATCGCTGCTCATGGACTGTGCGACTGGAGGAGCCTTCCAGTTTAAATGAAAATAGACAAGGGGGAGAGAAAAAAGTAAATAGATGATAGATAAGCAGAATAAATAAATTGAGCTTAGCCTTTTCTATACATTTATTGAGATATTGTTCTCTTATTACGCCTGAACTGTTTTGTATTAAATTCATTTGATCATTTTTTATGTTAAAGAAATGTAATCTGAAATACTTCAAAGTTTCAGAGCATAGGCTCAAATTGAGGAAAAGGAGATATTGGAGAAATCAGTTTATAAAATATTGCCAAAATGTTATATAATTAGTCCCTGAATTGTTTATACCCTTAAACTAATCTTAAACAGAAATGCTGTCTCCATCTGCAGTTAGTCCTTTAGTGGGAGTCTATTAACATCACAGCTTGTCTACTGCCCTCTTTAGGCATATCACAGTAAACCCAGATCATGATTCTGCCTCCACCATGTTTGACTGAGAAGTTCCCCTGGTGATACAGTGTGGTTTTAGTGCTAAACGTTGAACATTTGAACCTCAACCTTCTAAATTTCTTTATGCTGATTTTAATATAAAATAAATGATGTGAATCCATTCAGTGTAGTTTTTTCTGCTGCTGGTAGGATAAAAATATGAAGAAAGGACTAAGAAAGAATGGATTTATTAGGGAAAAAAAGAATATCAAGGCAAAAGAAGAGAAGAAATGAAGGAGGATAGAAGAAAGCCCAAAAGGGGCAAAGAAGGACACTAGGGAGAAAATGCTGGAAAATAAACCATGGAAGAAAAAAGAAAATAACAAAGGAAAGACTAAAGTACACACGAGAGGAAGGACAGGCGTGAGGAACGAAGACAGCTAGAGAAACATGGCTGACAGAAGAAAGGATGTAAAGGAAGGCAGAAATGAAACAAGAACCAATCTACAGAAGGGAGAATAAAATAACGATGAAAAATTTTGACAAAGACAAGGGAATGAAGGGGTCAACAGTAATGACATTCTATAATCCAAATTTTGTTTCCCAAACTTATCAGGCTACAAAACAGTAAATTGAAACTCAACCGATTTTACTATGTTTCAGATGAACCCTAAGCATCAATCTTCTCTTTAAGTCGTTTACTATTCTTTATAAATGTGCTAATACATCTTAGCCTAAAAAGACTGGATGCATCTGAAGCTCCATCAACATGTTTAAAGCAGCTGCTATTATTATTAAAACATTAGAGGAAGCTAAGAGGGCCCTGCTGCTGGTGTCTGATGTGAACCGACAGGTGGTCTTTAGACAGTCAGTCTGAATAAAAGTGATATGAGGAGAAAGCCCCGAGGAAACTACTGTACTCATGAAAAGGCCTTAATCGCTCTGAACTGTCATCACTGTAAAACAAGCAGCGTTTTTATTTTCAATTTATATCTGTGACAGCTGCCGCCCTCTATACAAACACATGTGCTTCTTAAATCTATGTTTTAAAGATAATATTCAAAGACATGATTGTGCTCAGGTGACAGTACGCTTACTTGCTGACTGCTCCACAGACTGCGACTGCTCCAAGAGATGCTCCTTTGCTTTCACCGACTGAGACAGCACAGTGGCCAGGAGCTAAAAGCACACATGCAAAGGTACGATTAGTAAACCGGTGCTCCAGTCCCAGAGGTGACTGGTGTTACAGCAAGCAGGGAGGATTTAGATCCACCTGCAGCTGATTCACTTTTCTGCTGCAACTGAGATGCCAAAAGGATCCTTTCCACTGAGGATTAGAGGATTAACAGAATACCATGCTGCACAAAAAACATTCCTACCTCTGCTGTTATCACTATTACATGTGAAAATCACAAAATTGTAACCACTTGTAAAGTGATTTAGCTTATGATTTAATTATATGCCATGTGAAAAGGGATCCAGAGTGCATTTAACCAAAAATATAGACTTTTAAACTGGTCAGAACTCACTTGGATTGTTCTACACCAAACGACCTGCTCGAAAAAAAAAAAATATATATATAAAACATTATTTTTTTCTATTTGTTTAAAATAAGGTATTTTAGACAAAGATTAAAAGATATCAAAACATGACTTGTTTGCCAAAACTGAAAGCAGGGGAATGTGAGGACTAATCAGTGAGGCAGCCCTAACTCTAACCCTGGAGGAGCTGCAGAGACCCAAAGCTCAGGTCTACACATCAACTGTTAATGATCCACTCTACAAAACAGGGCTGTATAGAAAAAATGGCAAAAAAGAAAGCAATTGTTCAAAAACTTGAGACTGGGGTGCAGGATCATTTTTCTAGCAGGACAATAACCCTGCATATATAAAGCCAAAAGTGCACTAAGACGAGTCCCATTCACGTCACCATTATCATTATTATTCTCTATGTTCTATTGAAAAAGGCCCAGCCAAAAGCCAAATCTCAGGCAATACGCTCAAACCGATATTCACAGAAGCTCTGCATCTGATCTGAAAGAGCTTGAGCTGTTTTGCAAGTCATGAGAAAAAATGTATTCAGCAGACGTGCAAAGAGAAAACCCCAAAGGATTTGCAGCTGTAATTGCAAAGAAATGTGATTCAACACAGGATTGATTCAGTGAGCTGCATACAAATGCACACCATTTCACATATGTTTATTTCAGAAATTGAAATGCAAACTCACTTCATCATTATTTACTTATTTGTACTGTGAAAAAAAGCTCCAAAAAGTTATAGGGGTATAAAAGTGCTTTGCAAGGAACCATATATTACAGAAAAGAGTTGCAGTAATTAAAGTGTAAAACCTCATAAATACTAAATAAAGTCAATAAATTTGAACCCTACACCTGTCATGGATTTATTTTTTAACTTTTATATTAAAGCTTTATTACATTCAAATATATAATTTAGGCAGAACCTTTTTATAGATAAAATGTGCATTTAACCTTTTGCCTTTTTAAAATATAATACTTTCTCTTTGAGTGATAAAAATTCAACCTTTAAAACTTGAAGTTAAAATAAAAGTGAAAGTCTGAACTACAATGCACCTGGTTTAAGTGATGAAAAAAAGGTGATACAGCTCTCTCCAAACGAAACAACAACCTGAGCAGGAAGCTCGGTTGTGGTTAACATGGTAAACACAGTTGTGTTTGGTTCCTGAATTTTTTTTTTTCCAAGAAACAGCAAGCCTGTTGTTTTGTGAAACTTAAAAGCAGAAATGTGGTGAGAAGCCTCTGTACGTAAACAGATTTAGAAGGCATCTTACCTTGACCCCCTCAGATTGTGCATGCAACCCCGGAGCATTGAGGCCGTGAGTGTTGAGTCCCGGCGTGGGGGCTGGGAGCGGGCTGGGGGCCGGTGTGGTCAGAACGTGGGTGTTTCCAGATCCCTGCAGGCTGCTGGAGGAGCGAACGCTGCCAAGGCTGCACACACTTCCACTCCGCTCTGCACCTTCAAACATAGAAGACAACAGACCTGAGCAAAGATCTACCAAAAAGCCAGACCTTTTTAGAGTCATCCAATGTGGTCTTGAGTCGCCACATATTTTCAAAACATGAACTTTAAGTCCAGCATTAAGCACCTCTTAAATTCACATTAAATATGGAATGTGATTCTGGCACTTGTTGGTCATTTAGTGCAACCTTTTTTCACTTGTGTTCCCCTTTAGGTGTTTTGTCTTACCATGAGTACCTCTTCACTCAAAGATATTGATGATTGTCCAAACGTGGAATGTACTGATTATAAAATTAAAACTATTGTACTAAATCTTTTAACCTGAGCATTTAATCCTCAGGGTTTTATTCTTTCCATTTCAAATAAAGAAAAAAAGTACACAAATAAAACAGATCCCAGCCCTATTTTATTTTACTCCCTAATTAATAAAACATATTCATGTACCCCTTGCAATGCACTCGGGGACCACTAGGGGTACGCGTACCCCAGTTGGGAATCACTGATTAAGTGAACTGTTCTAATTTTAAAATAAAAAGAACAACATGATGAGAACACTGATCCGACCCCAAGGCAAACAGCTGTAAAATTATCCTATGCAATCAAAAAGATAGCAGAGATTTGCTGTTTTTTTGCCACACCGAATGCATTTATACATGACCTAAACTAAATGTTGATTCTGTCTGGCATATCCTTACATGTTCATTTGATCATATTATGTATGAAAAAGACTATCAGCTGTGCAGACGGGTGATAGTGGAGTTTTATTTCCTTTGAAATGCATATTCTACAAATATTAATGAAATGCGCGAGGGTGGTGTAGGAGACTAAAACAGCTCAGTCTGAGAGATAAAAGATAGTATTTTAGAACAAGGAAATGTTAGCTAAAAACTTGTATAGCCTAAAGCAGGCATCCCCAAACTCGGTCCTCGAGGGCCGCTGTCATGCAGGTTTTAGAGGTTTCCCTGCTTTAGCACAGCTGATTATGATGATTGCAGTAGAGCAAAAGCCTGTTAATCAACTATCAATTAAAATCAGCTGTGCTGGAGCAGAGAAACATCTAAAACCTGCAGGACAGCGGCCCTCGAGGACCGAGTTTGGGGATGCCTGGCCTAAAGGATCAGTATTATAGGAATATTTTCTCTCTGCTGAACAATAAAGTTGTTCGTTTTTATCTTTGCACTTTCCAATTTTTTAAGCGCACACGCAGGACATTTTCTCCCAGTTAAAAGGACAACAGCTAAAGTCCAATGAAACATATATGGAAAGTCTAGATAATTTATAAATGAGATCACTTTAAAAGATTGCAAGGATTGCTGGCCTTTTTGTAAGCAGAATATGTATAAAGTTTATGGTTTATTATAATCATAGAGATAGTGACTGCAGATGTGAATTTTTTCTAAGCCTGTAGACAAAGTCAGGAGTTTACCTGCCACTGGTTTGCGCAGTACCCAGATGTCCTCGCTGGTGCTGCTCTGATGCCCTAAAGTGGGAGAACCCTGCGGACTCAGCTCTGCAGTCCGTGAACCTGTCAAATACACACACATACACGCATTTTCTTTTTTACATCAACAAAATAAGTCGAAGCATTTCTGTGGTTGGCTTCTAATATTTTGTAAAACAAAGAATTTCTCTATGGAAAGAAAACAAATATATATCTACACAGAAATATGCTCACCTATAAATCTATTTTACTCAATGGAAGCTATACAGTGGTTTCTAAAGTTTTAGCTTTTATTATAACTGTCCTGACATGGTTCTGCCCCCTGTTTAAAAAGGATTTCCAGATGTAGTGCCACTCAGTCATTACAGCCCCTTCAGTAATAGATATCAGTTCCAGTGTTGACTTTTTCTTACACCTAAACGAATTGAGTAGATAAGAACCAAGACGCGGCCAACATGGAAATATGACCTGCATTGTTCGTCTGCGTGATTACGCCCATCTTTGGGTTTTGTTGGATAAATTTTTGTTTTTTTGTAAACATACATTCTAGTGGTGATACATTTTCCAATATGACATTAAAAGCAAGCTATTATGCTGTATAATAGGGACAGTGTGCATTCAGGCAGTTTGTTTTATAGTTTAAATTCAAAGAAGAAAACAAAAATATACCAATAATTTTGCTTTTAAAACAAAAATGATAAATTGTAAAACAAACCATTATCTGATTTCTGCTTGTTTGCATTAAATGAAAATTGATAAAAATAGAAACACTATTAACTTGTTTTTCCCTGACTGTGGAAACCTTCGTTCCCTGTAGCTAAATCAATTTTTGGGGAATGTGCAGACACACATGGAAAGTGTAGAGAGAACCTCCTAGTCAGGCCGCTTGTCCAAATAAAATAAAAATGTCCATATATATATATATATATATATATATATATATATATATATATATATATATATATATATATATATATATATATATATATATATATATATATATATATATAAAATGTTACTCTAATGTACTGAGTTGAGGACGGACTCTTAATATTACTTTAGCATATATTCTACAACCACTTAACTGTGTTCATTCTTTTTTCTTTTCTTTTACTTTGCTATATGGGTCTTGACAAAAACATTGACAGTCATTAAACATTTTTTCTAACACTTTGGCAGCTTAAATTTGAAACAGCTCGGATTGTGCCTGACTATGTTAGCATTTTACGCTCTCTTTGCACAGTTAAATTAAACAATAAAGTAGGCATTAAAGGAAAAGAAAGCAGGTATTTAACTTTAATGTTTTAGACATGCCTCCTCTCTAGCACACCTGTATTAAATGATTGCCTGCTAATCACCCACTTATTTATGTCAGGTATGTGGAGGCAGGGAGACACTAAAGTCTGAGTCTAATGCACTGCATACTGTAAAAGGTCGTTTTCACCATGTCACAACTGATTTGCACCTGCTATAACTACTACAGGGAAATGCTTTTATGTGACCTCAAATAGCTGGTTCCTAGGAGTTATTTTTGTTGACTGGGTTTCTTGATTTGTCGACTGACCCGAATAGTGTTTAGAGCCTCAGTCAGATGTGACTATGATTAAAACCTAAGTATTTTAAAGAGTTGGGCTTCTCTATAGTGAATCAAAAGACTTATTTGTCTTAGAGAAACCAAGGGACTGATTGATACTGATGTAATAAAATTGAAGAATGAGGTGATTAGAATCCAAAACAGGCTGCTGGTAACAAATACCTAAAGATTCAATGGAAATTTGTCATTTGGATATTAGAAGCTTTTTAATCCTTGATACCACGTGTCAGTCACAGTGCTGTTAAAAAGTATGAACCCCTCACATATTTCTGCTATCCTGTCCCACTTTATATGCATTTCCCTGGAGTCTATGGAATAGCTGCAAACATTAAAATACATTATAAAATCCATAAAGAGAGCCTGAAAACCCCTTGATAAAGAGCAGGTAAACAGATTACAGCAGGTGTGTCCAAAATTGGTCATCGAAGGCTTCTGTCCTGCAGGTTTTAGATGCTTCAGCAGAGCTGATTTCCATTGATAGATGATTATTAGGCTTCTGCTGAGCCGAGAAATCCCTAAAGCCTGCAGGACAGCAGCCTTCAAGGACCGACTTTGGAAACGCCTGGATTATAGGAACCAAGCCCTTTGCAGAGCACCTTTAGTCATATGAGGTAATCTAAATGCTGTAGGTGGAATGTTTCAGCTAAAGTGTCAGTTCATTTACATAATTTGTGAAAAAAGGAAATATGACATGAAATATAAAACAATAGAGGGAAAATAATAATCTCTTTAAGGTTTAAAATAGAAAAATGGGAAAAGGGCTTTTTTGTCAATAGTGTGAACTGACACTTTAACTAAAGCCCATAAACAAGCTGACAGACGAAGTGTTTTCTGGCCAAAGAGCTTAAAAACAGAAAGGATTCTTATCTGTGGTTTACAGTATGTACCTGTCTGACTCTGCTGCTCCTGAGGAGTGGAGATAGGAGGAGAAGAGGACAGAGGAGGAGTGGACAGAGAAGGAGGAGAGATGGGAAGAGGAACATACCCGAACGAGGAGAAGCGGGTTAGGGGCTGTGTGCTGGAATGGAGGGGAGGAGGGGGAGGCAGATGCAGATGCAGGGGGAGGACTTTGGAGGGGGGGTATGGGTGTCCGTTGGCCGAAGCAATGGGGCAGGGGTTGGGCCGGCGGAGGAGGAGGGTGTGGCACTGCTGGGAGGGGGAGTGGCCTGGACACAGGCCAGGAGAAGGAGGGGGAGGGGGTAAAACAACAAAACAACACAACAACATAACGACAACTGATCAGTCAAAAAGTTAAAGAAACCATAAAAAGAGAACTGATTAAAAGTGAAAAACAAGAGAATAAAAAAAGAACATTAATATATATCCAGAAGGAATATATCTGTATATGTAATAAAGCAAACAAACAAAATGAACCAAAGCATCTAAATAAGCGGTTATAGGAAAAGGTGGGGAACGGGGTAGATTAGAGATTAAGGAGAGAGACAGGAGGAGCAGAACCTTAGAGGAGCGGAGGTAAACAGCCGGAGGAGGACAGTGTTTGATCAATGAAGATGATCGACAGGTTGATGGAGACCATTAGCTGCTGCTATCTACCACAATCACATGCTGAACGCTCACACACACACCCACACACACACAGCCGTCATGTGGGTGGTCACCTGCCCTCTTGATGACCTCCACGATGTTGGATGGGAAGTATCCCACACGGTCGTTCCCGGTGCGGTTATCATGAATGCAGCCTTTCCATCGACCGTCAGAGTGCTGCTCCAACACCTGAGACACAAACATCAGCCGTAGCACCGTCACACCAGCACAAACATCTGACCTCCAAACTCCTAGTTGCAAAAGAGAGGTACTGAAAGGACAATGCACCGATTGCTCAGCAGACGATCAGCAAACACCCAACATTTTTAGCTGGTATCATAACAATAAAAAGCCACAGCTTTAGCAACTGAGCTTTAGCAACAGTTTCGGTTATTCCACACCTGACTTATTTGGCAAGAAGAGAAGCAAACTAATACAGGACGTCTTGAACATATTTTTTCATTTGTTCCTTTCCTATGAGCTACTTATATGCCTAAGTGAGGAAGTGTGACTTTCCTAAATCAAATCCACCAGCAGCATGGGCCCCAGATTAAAACAGGCCCCAAAACTTCACCAAAACGATGACAACTGGAAAAAAGGGCTCTAATGGTGCCTGACATAATCAGAAAAAATATATTACAATGGTTCTGAAATGTGTGCAGCTGTTAGGACATGACTGTACCGTGATAATGTCTCCAGCTTTGATGTTGAGGCTGGTCAGGTCATAGTTATTGCAGTAATCCTTCAGTGCACGGACCTGCATAGCAGCCGAAGCATCTATAAATTAAAGCAGCACGTATGGGAGAACAGAGAGTGAGGCAGCAGAGGTGGGGGGCAGTCATCTTTATAATTCACATACAATAGAGGGCAAATAACATATCAGAAACTATATTCCCTTAAAACCTGGATGAAAGGTAACTTGTCAGAAAAAGGTTAATATCAGAATGGTGCTCTTTCTCTATTCGCCGTTAAGAACTTTGGCATAAAAATTACATGAATCTGCGTAGATAATGAAAATGTTTAGTTAAGTCAAATATCTGCCAGCAGTTTTTAGAACTGAACATTTTCCAAGTTCTTATTTATTTGCATAAATATAAGTCTATGTTCTAAAAACTAAAAAGACAGAAACATACATCTAAACATAAACCAGACACATTTGATGTTATAGTTATTGATTTAATCTTAATCAAACTGTTGTAAAGTCTTATTTTCTAGCAGCCGTGACACCTGTGAATGAACAGTTAATAAAATACCCTAGATCAGCATCACCTATGCTTCTTTTACCCCCCAGAATTCTTTTGAAAGCAGCAATGATGCATATTTTTAACTTTTTTTCTGTCTGTATTTTACTCGTAGCTCTGACATAAAATAAGCTGGGGCTCAAAGCTGGGATCAAGGCCTCACCTCTCAGTAACTGTTTAATTTCCCGGCTGGCCTGTGTGGTGGTAAACTGGTTAACAATGTCCAAGGCAGTTTGGCTCAGAGTGTTTCTCACTCCTGCACTGATGCCGCTCTAGAATAAGGCAGAGGGGGTAAAAATCGACGTTAATCAGTATCAGGGACACAAGGAGCAAACGAACATGTTCCAGAAATGTCTTTGCATTGCAGGGAGTAAAGAATGACTAAAAGAGGTAAGAGTTTCTCTGAGCTGGAAAAAAAACAGGCTTTAGGAAAACAAGCAGTGAGACTCACATCCAGCAGCAGCCGCACCACCTCTGTCTTCCCACAGAGGGCAGCCTGATGTAGGGCAGTGCCACACTCTGACTGCCTGTTGATGTCTATACCAGCCTGGATCAACAACCTGCAAAAACACACAAAACTGAAATCATACCTTTGTTTATCTTATAATGACGTCAAAGTGAATAATGTAGACTGAAATCTGCTGCTATTGACAGAGGATTGAGTTATAATTAAACATAAAATGCTTATATTTGATAATTCTGGTTCGAAATATGTCTTATTGATTTCCTGACACAATGTTTTAGCTATCTTAAGCAGGCTGAAGGAAGTTCATTTTCTCATTTTTCTATTGTCTTTTTCCTAACCATGGCTGGCTGTCTTCCAGAGCTTTAGCAGGAAGAATGTAGAGACGGTGTTTGTGCTTTGACAAGTCATGTCAAGACAACACAGGAAAAAATCGTTGAAATTCTAATCTATAGAACTCCATAGGCATCAGTTTGTTTGTGTTTATCAGTTGAAAACAGTCAGTCAAGTTCTTTGTTTAATGGTTTTTGCAGGCCAGAGCTTCATATCTTGTATCTCAATCATGTATTTCAAGGGCAGATCTAAATATACAAGATTAATTTTAGTGGTAATTGTACAGGAAATATGAAAAAAAAAAAATTATAATTTATATAATGGTGTACATTTTTGCTCCGGCCTTTAAAAGTTGCATCAGTTTTGAGTTAAATCATATCTGCAAACAGAGACCGGATTCAGGTGATTACTTTTAAAACTGATACAAAAAAAGTGAATCTATTTTCATTAATTTGACTGATTATTATGATTTAAAACTTAAGAGACGGGGCCATGTTTAATAGACAGGGACTAAAAAGAAGGATGATTCATGACATTTGTTTGTTTTCCACTCAAGGAAATAGTCAGAGAGAGGACGGACATTGAAATAGGAGCAAAAAGAAGAACTTGTTCAGACCGTATGACGTCGATGTGTCCATTCTTAGCAGCGAGATGCAGAGGGGAGACTCCGTTTGGGTCAGAGGGTTTCGGCTCTAACATGGCTGCACACATGTTACTGCTGAGCAGGAGCTGCACCACCTAAACACACAGAAAGACACAGCATCAGTAGAACTTCATCACATAGAGACAGAGCTACGCTGCATGTAAATATACATCTGGGATCGGACATGTACATGCACAGTATAAAACATTTTACCTCTTTCAAAAGGCATAGTTAACATCTGTTTACTTATTTTTTTATATATTGACCTTTTAAACTGATGACTGAGGACAAACAAGCTTCTCACCATAGATTATTTGGATTTTGGGTGATAAGTGATGCTGGGAGACAGCACTTCTTTATGAAACTGAGATCAGGGCTCTGTGATGGCCACTCCTAAACATTAACTGTATTGTCCTTAACTCTTGTTATAGCTAGTTTTGCCGTTAGATTACGTTCATTGCTTATTTGGAAGACTCGTTTGTTCCCAAACTTCCCAGCAAGAGACCAGACCAGATGTTCCCTTAATATTTCCACATTATATTCTTTCTTCATGATGTCCTCTATTTTAGAGGACATCACTCACACAGCATAAAGCTGCCACCACCATGCTTCACAGGTGGAATGATGATTTTACCCCCTGCTTCCCCCTTTTTTCAGTCATTGTGGCCAGTACTTGGTTTTAGCTTCATCCAACCACAGGACTTGTTTTTTTTTTTTTTTAAATAAAGCCTGTGTCTTTATTCTGGCTTTATTATCGCTTTTTGATTAACAGCTCATTCTTGTCTATTTGGCCATCTAATCCATGCTGCTATCAGACATGTTTCAGTGAGGATAGTGATACTCTTACACCAGCTTCAGAGAGTTTCTTCACATCTATTTCCCAATTGTTCTGTGGTTGTTTCACACATTTTCTATTAAGTGCGTCTATTGGACGTACAAGCCACCTCCTTTCCCAGCAATAGGACGGCTGAAGATGAGGTGCAAACACTTGAACCAATTAGTGCTGCATCTTTATCTTAAAATTGTTCCAGACTTTTGGAAGTCAACAATTATCTTGAAGATATTTTGCTTAATTTTCTTTGACTTTTCTATGACATCACATGAGGAGGCAGTATGTTTGAGTAGAAATAATTTATAGGAATGTCTCCAGTTATTTTAGAAGATTGAAAAGCCAATGCACCCTCACCTGGTTTCTCAAATTGTTTAAAAACATGATAATCTTAAAATAAATAAGCTTCTGAAATAATTATTTCTATTATATCCTAATCTGACTTAAGCTGTGTATGTATACTTGTAATAAAAACATCCTGATCAAGGGAGACATTTTATACATCCCTGCATTTAAATAGAGATTTAATATAGTCCTTATTAGACATCTTCTAAGGAAACTGAGAAATTATTTCAAATATAAAGAATATTTAAATGAAATAAAGAATGTTTACGGTTTACTGTACTTACTGCAACCCGTCCAAATTCACATGCCAGGTCCAGGGGGGTTTTCCCAGCTGTATCTGAGATACATGGGTTGGACTGGTGTTGTAGCAACATTTCTGACTGTAGCACAAACAGACCAAAACATTACTGGTGTATTTGAGTAAGCTGTCTTGTAAGAGAAAAGACCTTTTATGCATGCATCATCAGGTTCTAGATAACAGAAGCCCACATCTCTCACACACACACACCCAGAGTTACCCCATCATAGTGTCCATGCTGTGCTGACAGGTGGAGCGGGATCTGTCCTTCATCTGACTGTCCGTTGACTGATGAGCCTGCTTTCAGCAGCATTTTCATGGGTTCAGTCTTCCCCTGCCATGCAGCGTAATGCAGAGGACGCATTCCTACACAACACCCCCAGACACCAACAGAGAGCGCAGAGCCAGACATGACGGCACATTGAAACACACATATACAGCACCCCACAAGCACATGCACACAGACACAAGGATCAGCACATGATCACATGCAAATACAGTTTCTCATTTAAATCAATTCATTTGAAATCAGGAAAACACAATTCATGGCTTCCAATCTCTAAACTTAATTACTGGTGAAAAAGATAATTACTTAACTATCATCTCAATGAAAAAAAAATGAGAGTTCAGTGAAGACTTGATAATCACAGATCATGAAAGGCTTCATAAAACAAAAATAAATTAATTAAACAAAAACGCAAATGTTTGCTTGCTTCTATTTTAAACAGTTAATAACCAAACAATATGGTTAACATGTTTAAAAAGCCTTTACATATTTTTTATGTTATTGCAATAGCACAAATTTAGTTCAGATAAATATGATAATGGAAAAGTAAGAAAATTACACTAATAAAGCTTTCAAAAATATACCTTGGATTGGTGTATATATAATGTTAATGAAAGAAAAAGTAAATACAAGAAAGATTGATAGGTAATATGTAATTGATCGCAGAGTCTAGGAACAATGATTCATTTTTGTTTTTTCAATCTTTTTAGATTTGAAGTGTAATGCAGATATAAAGTACTTTTTAAAAAGGGAAAGACAAAAGTATGACATTTTAAGTGGTCTATGTGTGTGTTTATCACTATGAATAAGGGAACGGCCACTAGAAGAGACTTATCTGCCTTACGTTGACACTTTTACAGTTAAGGACCCAGGTTTATCTGTCACTATGCACACTGACCAAGATAGTAGGAGATAAAAGACATGTTGGGTGTCATCAAGTAACCATAGTAATCACGGTATGCTGTTTATTAGCCAACCAGTGGCAAACTGTCTTTCCTTTCAGGTGCAAAAATGTGGAATTTGCTAAAGACGACCAAAGCTTTAAATGAAACGTTGTGCCTTGAAGCTTTTTGGGGACTTACACTCAACATGAAACAAATGATAAGGATGTAACAACACATGCCCACAATGGTGTACGAACGCGTTCGATGAACAGCGTTTACTGAATACGTTCATATTTTTAGTGAACGGTGAACATGGATCAGATTTGTAGTACTGAAAGTGAGCGAGATCGACGTTCACTTTGAGAATAATTAGCAACACACACAGCTCACGTTCTCGTTCAATTGATAACGACACTTTTCAATGGATAAAGGCAGGTTTTATGGTACTTATTACGGCATAATAGACCAGCATGTCTACTACTAGTACTAGTCTAAGTGATTCAGAGGCATCTACTGGTATTTCTGATGCCAGTTTTGCAGATCGCTTGCAGAGTTTTAGGAACTATCAAAGGAAGACTCGGACAGAAAAAAACACATGTTTTTGTCTGAACTGTGCCCACCAGGACTTAATATACAAGTCCGTACGTCAGTCAAGTCTACTTCAAATTTAATGCAACACATCGAGTTAAAGCATCCAAGCTATCTTGGGAAATATCTGCTACTGAATGAGAAACGTAAAAAAATAATTTTTGATACAGATAATTTAAGCAGAACCTGAATGTACTTGAATGTTTCTAAAGTTCTGTGTAATTTGGCAAAATAAAGGCTTCACTGCACATACAGAATTCCTTGACAGCATCAAGTATTTCTTTCTATATATTATGATCACACATTTAAAGGGTGAAATATGAGGTTCTATTGTGTAGGATTGTGGCTTAATTTATCAAATGAACTTTAACCGGTTAATTTTTAGGTTGGTGAACTTAGTTAATTTTTGAAAAAAGTGAACTATGAACCAGAGCTAGTTCATTATTATTTGTATGAACTGAACTTTGAACTAGTTCTTTTTAATTATGATCTGGCACGACATTGACTGTGGCTCATTTTCTGTTCTTAAGGCTCTGGGGTCCTTGTTACAGATTATGTAACATCTTAAACAATTGGATGTTTCAAATACATATTTGCGGGTTTTCAACAAAATATATAAATAAATAGAATAGCTAATTCCAACCTACAGAATGATTAATTTACCCAAAATCATTTATTTCTTCAGCCCAGTCCCCGGATTAAAACCTACTGAAGACCTACAGGTTGAACTGAAAACAAAAAAGAGCATGAGAAGATCCAAGATCTAAAGGCTTTGTGCAGCTCAGGATCCCTCTCACTGTGCTGCAGTCAAGTGAACTGACATTGGGTTCTGCAAAGTAATGACGCGGAGTAAGAAGAGTAAGAAGTGGATTTTTGCAAGAACAAAAAAAAAGGAAAAGAAAAAGAACAGTTTAACAATTATTTCTATTAATGTGTTTTAGATGAATTTGGTGAAGAGAAACCATAGTTAATTACAGCATTACAGTTTGCATTGATTTCCATCTCTCAGAGCAGCTTTAAATACAGACTCTGAGTGGACCTCCTGCTTAACTCTACCCTTGTTGTTGCTGTTGACATCTTTATGACCCTGTGTAACCCTGGAATGATAGCTTGTGCAAACATCACACTTCTGGGACATTTGAGACCAAGGGCTTGAGACAAAGGGCAACGAAACCCTTTTCAACGTCATACTATGTCCTAAGAGGACAATACAGAAAGCACTCCTGCAGAATGTTAAAGCTGATATTGAGAGAAGTGCAGAAAAATGAAGCTGGAGTCACTGTCAACTCCCCTAAACAGATGATGTTACAGAGATTTTTTTGAAAAGCAACACCTGAGGCACTGCAGTCTGTGTCTGGTGGGAACATTTCTGAGGACACCACCGGACCCCATGTTTGGATATTCAGATATTTGTCTCCAGAAATGCACTGATCAGAGTTTTGTGGTCAATTAATAATCTCTGGCAAGGTGATCTTTGACGTTCGGATGATAACAGAATTTCCATTGCAAAATGTCTCTACAGTGTTTGCAGTATTAGCATTTAGCGTTCTGGTACAGTAAGGATGACTAAAAACACTGGCCTCTGTGAGACAAATTAAGACATATTACTTCTCATCAAGGATTTTTTTTCATGTTGTTTCTGTTGAAAATTTTATCTCAGTAAAGATGAGGCAATGCACAAAGGAAATTATCTCTCTTAATTAATGTGTTCCCTTCTAAATTTTCATAAAAAAACACATTTTATTGCATTACATCAGTCAGACTTTTCTTATAACTGCTCACTAGTTTTTAACATTTTAGCTATGGTATTTTGACCAGTTATCTTTGGAGTTAAGCTTTACATCTCTGACGTTTGAGGGCATATTTTAAATCTCCCAAACATTTAGTCCACAGCATAGATTAGGTTTTATGTAAAGCATGATTAGATCTCTAGGAAGGTGTCAGCATTTTCAAATCCACCATGTTGCATGGCAGAAAGAGGTTGAATTCTCACACCTTCCTGTTGTTTGCTCAAAATCTTGAACAAAACAGTAAATTTTTGCCAGCAGTGGAAAAAGGTGTATCCATCTTGAGTCAGAAGACAATGCTTTTTGTCTCTCTCCTACTGAATAAAGACAGCCTTCATGCCCAGCTTGCATGAAGGAGGCATAATTCACATTGCTTGACACCTGCATGCAACTCTACACAGTCCAATTGGATTTCTTCAGAACACATAGGATCCGACAACAGGTAATGTCAACGGATCACTGGACTAACAAGACCAAGAGGGTCTGTGAGTAAAAACGAAACTACATTTGCTGCTCAAAGAAGCTAAAAAAAGATAGCTGTTTCAGTCTTAGGATCAGAAAGTACATAACAATAATGTTGTCATTTGACTGTTTTAGTTTGATTTTCCAAAAGAAGATGTGTTTTACTTTGCTACTGTGTCTCACTTCCTGTGTTCATTCTCGTGCAATTTCCTTCACATTCCTGCATAGGTCCACCCAAAATGACCTCTGCCTTGGTGACACGTTGGAGGCGCAGTCTTTAAGAAGTGGTCAGTGTGCCTCCATTCACTTCTTGCTAAAGAGTGAAAAGTTTGTCTCTCCTTTCTGAGCAATACACAGTTCTTTCCACAAATAAGAGCTTTGAAAGTTTCAGGGCAAAATGACAACCCTAATCAAATGTATTCTAGCTCTTTGAAATACCCTGATTGCCTTTCATAGAATAATTAGGAAGTTCAGTGAAACTCTAACAGTTTGCCTAATTTCCTCATTCCTTGCTGTGTTTTTGTTGAAAGGAACCAGGTCAGTGAACTCAGGCTGTTTATCGAAGCTGGACTGTTATTTGAGGAAAGGATCTTAAACCAATAATAATTCCTCAAGTTTCTGAATCATTTTCCTCTGAGGACACATTGGAATTTAGCTTCAAATATATGTCTCTAGTCTATGTCTCCTGCTAATTTTTTTTACTTAACTCCACTCTCTGCTGTCTGCAGCAAGGCAGGAAATCCCCCTGACGTGGGAAATATTTAATCCATTGAGAGATTTCTCAGAATTACACAGAGAAACTATGACAAGCTTAGTTCACTGTCTAACTATCCAACCTCCCATCTTCGTTTTTCCCACTACCTCCACCCTAACATATCAGTTCAGGATGAAAATAACACTTAATGCTCCCATCTTATTTTTTTCTTTTACATCTAATACATGAATCTGCTATAATGTTGGTTTTAATTTTTACCTCCATTCAGTGAATGCACTATTGTCACATTAAAGAAAACTAAGAAATCTCAAATAAGCAGGTAAATTGCCTCAAAATAGCCATAAGAAAGAAATAGGAAGAAGTCGAAACCAAAGCTAAGTGTTGATTTAGCTCTGAGGTGATAAAGGAACTTGGCTGTAATTGTGACCGATGTGTTAATCACCAGGGCCGGCCCTGACATCCTGTTTGGATCCGGATTGTGGTGATTGATTGACCTTAGCCGGGATGTTTGGAACATCTAGCTTCCCATGGTTTGAACTTTAGCTGGGGAAAAATAAATCAATAAAAAATAAACTACCCAGACAAATTACAAAGACATAGAAGAAATATGCTGCCTACAAAACAAACGACACCAAGACTTTTATTTATGGCTAAATGGAACACAAAGAGGCTTGGTGTTCATCTAACAAGCCAACAAATCAGACTTTTAATATCTGTTTGGATTAATCTGAAAGGTCTTAAAGTCTAATTTTAAAATGCTGTAACTTTAAGCAGTTAAAAGGTCTCCATAGTTGACAGCAGTTAATGATTTTTAGCTTTAGATTCTAATAAACTAAAGATTGTGGGACCCACTCTACATTGGCATGAGACTGTTTTGACTAATACTATGAAGGAACATAAAAAAAGAAATGTTTGTTTTAGTCAGACTTAATTACTACGACAAACACGAAATGGAATACGATTACTAATCTTTGAAGCCGCGTTTCTGTTTATCTCCTCATGTTTATGGGAAGGATAATCCGGTGGTGTTTTACAGAAAAAAAAACAAGAATACAAGCTACCTTTCAACAAAAAGAAAAATATTCTCTTGTGGTATTTCAAAAGATTACACATCAAAAAGAAATCATCCTAATATTGGCAGTTCAGATTAGCAATGGGAAGAAAACCAGAAGAGTTCTTTGACTTTGAAATTGTGCTTCAGATTATTAGAAGTCTAAAGGCATTTAGTGCCGACAATAATGTGCATTTATACACCTTAAAAAATACAAAGTAGTAATAGTAATATACAACTTTTTTTCTGGTACTACTACAAGAATAAAGTCATAAATTATGACTTTAATCTAATTTTTTCTCCAAGTCTGGCTCTAATACTCCTTCATAGATTTTGAACCTGCTTTTTGAAAGATCAATGTATTTTAGGGCCTTTGATGAAGGTCTTTACCAGAGGCGCCACTAAATTCGGAGTGTTGCTTTTAACATAAAGATTCTGAAAAGTATTGCTTCTTTTGCTGGATGTTAATTATTTTTACACCATGCTGCAGTAAAAATAGATATCAAGGAAATTAAAAATGTATTAAAAGTTTCTAAAAAAGCCCTAAAACTAAACCCAGTGGCAAACATTTCAGTCAGGCATTATTAGTGGCTAATATGAACAGAGGAAGGATTAAGGTGTTAAAAAACAAATCCCGCCCACACAAGCTGAATATCCAATAATTCCCTTTGAGATCACTGAAAATTAAAAGAAGAGTAATGAAAGAATATGGAGGCAAGGCCTTCAGAAACTGTGGCAATACATTTTTTTTTTAGTATTTTAGAAATTGTGTCTTGTAATTTTGGCAGAGTTCTGGGCCGAAAATGGAGCAAAACACCCAGGGTCTCCAATCTGCTCAAATCAATGAGCTACGGTGTCTGTGATGGGGAACAACTTCCCAAACACTTCTGGTACAGAAAGCCCCTCACTGAGGAGGAAGGGCCATGCTGTAAATACGCCTGCCAGGTGTATGTCTGTATTTAGAGATGCAGGGGGGCACAGCTAACTGAGAGTGCAGAGAGACTAGGCCAACATCCTGCAGGGATTATAACCCCCATCTGCCCTGAGATTTCCTCTTTTTCTTTCCACAGAATCCGACAACCCTGGCTGGAGATTTTTTCCTCCTCTGATGCCATTTGGCTCTCGGTTGTGCAGCCATGAAGCTTTTATCCTCTGTTTTCTATTATTTACTGTGCAAACAAATCTGTCACTGCTCTCTCTCACTCTCTCTTACACACAAACACACACAGGGATGTAAAAAGGTTATTGTGTTTTCAACAAGCTCTCACATGGTTTTTGTTAGTTTTTATTTTTACGCCCTTTTACCAGGTTTGTGTCTGTTTTTTTTGTTTTAGTCCAGACATCTGCGTATGTCTTTACCTTTATTATCTTTGATATCCACAGCTGCCTGAGCCTCCAACAGCAGAGAGATCAGCTCCTTGTTCCCACTCAGGGCAGCATGGTGCAGCGGTGACAGCCTTCACACAGACACAGATTGAGCATGAAAATAAACATTTTCACATATATACGTATCAGCATGAATCCTGGCTATAACTCATCTGAATTAATCTCCATCGTACAGCTGCTCCACCCCTCAGCTCTACGTGAAAGATAGGAGGGAGGGCAGGAAGCTGAGCTGACATGTTGGTGGTAGAGGGGGGGTGAGGGGTGACCTACTTCCATTAATAAGCAATCTTACTACCCTGGAGTGGAGTGTACACACAGGGCATCTATGTGTGAGTCTAATGGATCCCCTGTGATATAAGCCTGTCCCTCGACTCACATTAAAAAGTCATCAGTCGTTAACCAGGGAACTGAGTCCAATTATCTAATTTCCACCAACACAATAGAAAGCTTCTTCTTATTTGATCTAGCGAAAGGGAACACAGTTACAAGCCAAGCATGTGCACACATCTGAGTAGAGCCATAAAACGGCACAACAACAAACCCTTCAACTGGCTTCATATGGGCCTACCTATCATTTACATTCTATATGATTTCATTTATGGAAAATACAGATTTGAGCACAGGAAGTTTTTCCTGTTGTTCAGCCATGTGAGTCAGAGCGGATAGTTGGGCATGGATTACAGTCCTCCAGGCTATTTATGTTTTTTTCTTTCTCAGGATGAAACAGGTGTCTTGTTGTGATCTAGTTTTTCTCCCTTCCTGTTTATGCTGTGCTCCATTTACCCAGAAAAATCACAACATTTATCTGGAAAACACGTTGCATCCAATGTAACTGTCTTCCAGTTAGAAGGTTTGCTATCTATTGCACTCACTAACCAGGCTAAGTCAAGTTAATAATAATGGACGGATTTAAACTTTTGTTTACTGCTGCTTTCCCTCATCTCTTAAAGGTAAATGGTTCAGTTTTACTCAGAGATTCCAGGTGCTATCACAGCAGTAATGACCAGCATATCACTGCAACAACTAAACAATACTGAAACAAAAAAAAAATCGTAAGCGTATTTAAGCTTAATTTAACTAGGTAAATAAGATCATTTGAAATAACTCATTTAGATTTCAATGTTTTGCATTGCACTGCATTATACAAACCTAGCCATAGACAACATTTGAACTTCTCCACATTTTGTAAAACAACTCAAACTTAATTTGTTTTATTTTTTTATTTTTGTTGTTGTGGTAAAACAAGTCAAAGTAGCACACAATTATTTGGGGGAAGGAAAGGGATAAATGGTTTTCATAATCAACCCAACTGGTTCAATATTTTGTAGATTCAAATTTTGCTATGATTACAGCATTGCTTATTTTGTGGTTAGGGCTCTACCAGCTATATTACATGTACTAGACAGTGGCAGCTTTATCCATTCTCTTTTTGGGAAATGATTCAACCTGAGTTAGACTGGATGGAGTGGATGGTGAATTTAACTGCACAAATTCTGACCCTAATGTCCTATTATGTAAATAAGCGTCTGCAACTTCAGTCCTTGACTGTCACTGTTCTGCAACTGTTGACTCTTCCCTGCTCCAACAAACCGGAATCAAGAAGCTGAATTTTCTCCTGGCATGTCACCAAGTTTTGCAAAGGTCTGTGGATTAACCATTCATTTACTTCAGGTATGTTGGAGCAGAGATGCAACATATCAGTCCTCTAATATAAAGACTGAGTAGACTTACAATTTTCCTTTTTAATAAATCTTAAAGTTAGGGTGACTTAGGTAATCATTAGCTGGCTGTGTATTATCTCTATAGACTCATAATGCTGGAGGTTTTCATCAAAGTTTCCTATGCGCATTTTGCCATTAAAAACATTGATGTTTGCCATTAGAAGGGCTTGATGGAAACAACTGAATTTGGATCAGTTGAATAAATTTGGCAAAAAAGTTTTTCATGCTCATGTGATTATTTTCTTTTACATTTTCAAAAAGGAAAAAGGCTTGGTCTGAATACCCCAAATTGGTGAGGACACTTAAGATACAATGACAGTGTGTCCGCGTCCACCATAAGTGCTATCTGAATAGTGCTGGCAGTAGGGAAGGAACAAGAAGCAGGATGCTTTCTAGCGTCAATTCATTTACCGGTACATGTGTTGACAATATTGTTGGTACCCCTTGTTTAATTAAAGAAAAAACAACAATGGTTACGGAAATAACTTTGAACAAGGTAGTAATAAACAGTAAGGTCTGGAAAAAATATATCTACACTTCATATTTTTTTGCACAAACTTTTAGGGCAATCACTGCAACCAAACCTTCCTTTAACTTTCAATGAGACTTCTGCTCCTCTCAGCAGGTGTTTTGGTCTACTCCTCATGAACAAACAGCTCCAGTGGTCTCAGATTCACCTTTTCCACATGTCATGTTTTAGCTCCTTCCAAAGATCCTCTATAGGATTTAGGTCATGGCTCATAGAAGTGCATTACCACTAAGCTTTCTGACACTGGGAAGCACATTTATCTCTAGAATCCCTTGATAGTCTTGAGATTTTATTGTATCCATACACCCTGTCCCAGAAGAAGCAAAGAGGCCCCAGATCATAGCAGAAACTCCTCCATGTTTCACTGCAGTGATAGTGTTCTTTTCTTGATAGGCCTCAGTTTTCTATCCGTGTACACAGAGCTCAAACAATAACTGACGGTGCGATCTGACTCTGAAGTTCCTTGAGCCTGAAGTTCACCTTTAATCTCTTTTAGCCTCTACCTTTAACAAGCTTATCTATATGTTTCTTTCTAATCTGCAAAGACAGCTCTTCTTTTGCTTCCTTTAGTTCATGTTGAGTGTGGTACACACCATGTCACCACACAAAACAGTGATTACAGATATCTGTATATATAAAAATATTGACTGATTGCGAGATAGTAAACACCTGTGATACTTATTAGTGGACACACTTTGATTTAACATTTACGTTTGGTCATATTATTTCAAGTCTTCTCTTCAGGTACCATCATGTCTGTCCAGGCCTGTTTCATGAGTTCGTTTTTCAAAATTACTCTGTTGAAGCATGGCTGAAAAAAATAGTCTGGCTTTCATTTGTTTATTTTCATAGATATTTATATTTATCATTAGAGTTATTTCTGTGATACCTGATATTTTTTCATTAATTGAGGGGTACCAACATTTATTTTCACATGTGTACAATGGAGAGCCTCAGCCATTCAGTGTATTTGTGTCACTTTTGTTTTTTGTAGATCTTTTTCTAAAAGCTGTATTCCCAATTTAACATGCATCATTCTTGTGGGTGTCTGTCACGTAATGACATCCAAAGAAGCTGAGAGTTGTCTTGATTCAGCACAGCCTTTCAGAGGAACTTTCCAACGCAATTGGTGTTCTAACCGTTGACCCAAGGAAGGTGAATGGATAGGATCTAGGAACAGAAGGTAGGAGCTATAGTTTAAGGTATGTGGTTCAAGACTAAATGCACCAATTAGGAGAAAAAAACACAGTTGTCAAGTTCTGACATAAGGAACATTTACCTCAAATGACTGGATAGATGTGTCTGCTGTTTGAATCCTGAATGCAAGAATCAAAATCGCACTTCTGTCTTAACATCTCTGGATGGCATGTCAAATTTCTAATACCATAGTAGCTGACATTATAAAATAAGTACAACTTGCCTAATTAAAACCTTGGACCATTACTAATCTGTCATCCACACTAGCTTACTACCTAACCTGGTAACTTTCAGCTAATGAATAGAAAAAACACCTTTATTTTGGATTTTCTTTATTTTTTGAAAATTCACTTCAAAATTCAATAGAAACGCAGCTAGGGTATTTTTATGCTTTTCTCATTGGTGTAGCTACATGGCCTTTACTGGATGCATTAGCTGGGCTTTTGTTCATGTTCCTCCCTCAATAGATGTTACACACGTCGCTGTATTTTAGTAGTAATCTCATTCTCTCTCCCAGACCTTGTTATTGGCTGAGCTTTTACTGAGTCCACCTGTATGTGATTGTGCTCTCTTTCATCCTCTAGACTTGAAAACTGACTCTGAGCTATTTGCTTAAATGGGTTTTTCTCCTAAATGAAACCACAAAAAAGGCAACGACTGCCTTTAAATGTTTTGAAAAAACTTTTAGCATAAAAGGTATTTCTATTACAGTCTTGTGTTTTATGTGTCTGCTAGGGCTAGTCAAATCTCTAGTCAGTCAGTGGGTTATTTTCTTTTGTGCTAGATGAATGCTAATTATGAAGCATTTCTGCAAGGTCAACTTCACAATGCAAGCAATGGTCTATGGTGCCTCGAACTGTCTAAATATCAGATTGCAAACACCGATCTGTGATCAGATTCAGTATGACATATCCCAGCTACTATAAAACTGCTAAATAACATCTCAATGCATTCCTAGTTTGAAGGATCTATTCTGTTTCACTACTATATGATCATTAGTATAGTTTCACTGATTATTTCTGTCTCTAAAATGTACATCGGTAAAGAACGGGATGATGATGACAGGAGGAAACAAATGGAGCCGTCTATCTCACCCGTCTGCATCCTGGATGTTGACATTAACCCTCTTTGCTGCACCAAGAAGCTCTGAAAGAGAAAAGACGGAGGTGTTAAAAGATACAAAAAAAAAACGTTTTTTATTTAAACATGTAGTCTTTGCCAACTAAAGACACACTCTGCTGTTTGACTCCTTCATTGTGGTGTTGAATCTACAGTTGTGTGAAAACATTTGAGCAAAGCGTGTGCCTTTGTACAATTCGTTCACTGTACTAAGAAGAGGTGAAAATCACAACTGAGGATAAACAAGTATTTCTGAAAACCCATCTATTTCTGCTTATAAAATGTGAATAATTCCTGAAGGTAAAACATATAGGTATATTCAGAAAAGTAGAATATTATAGATTTTTTTCATTGACTAATTTTAATATTACACATTTTATCTGCTTCTTCTTTGGGAAATAGTCATTGCTGTTTTTGATGCACATTTATTACCTGCATATTTTGTACATTTTTCCTTTCCCTCCAATTAGCGTCACATTTTCCATCTGTTTATGGCTACTAATGTGATGCCACATGGGAGAAACAGCACTGATCTTAAAGGAGGGTTACAATTTAACAAACACTCTGAAATGCACTCAGATATAACAGCTTGCTTGTCTCTCTCCCCATTTTTTTAATGTTCTGGTCAAACCCTCATAATCCGGAGGACATAATCTGTAGCTGTCCTGTAATCTGCGGGAAAGCTTCTCTCTCCCACTTCATCCCTTCATCCTACTTTCACACTCTAATTTTCGCTGTAATTTGCTAAAGAGCGCGTGCTGATTGGTGGCTTGGCCGTCTCTGTTTACACTCTGATGCTGACATCATTTTCCTGCTTGGATGTTGCGTGAGCTCTTAGTGTGCACGTTTAGGTTCCCCCATCCTGACTTGGATTAATGACCAGCCCAGCCCCTCCCCCCTACCAACACACACCATACACTACCTGGATGAGTTTCAGTACTTTTGTCGCTATCAAAGTATCAAAGAAGCACCAAAAATTAAAAGAACACAGCAATTTTATTTTTCCCTATCCCATTTTCTGCTTTAGAAGTTTTCTTTCCCTCTGAGCTTTGATTAACTACCAAAATAAAGGAATGGAACCTGCTTTAAAAAGAGAGAAAATGAAATAATTTGTGTTTTATTCATCCATTTTTCATCAGACTTTATCCCTGCTGGGGTCACGAGGGATGCTGGTGCCTATCTCCAGCTGTCAGTGGGTAAGAGGAGGGGGACACCCTGGACAGGTGGCAGTCCATCGCAGGAAAACACAGAGACAAACAGGACAAACAACCACTTATGCACACACACCTAAGGAGAAGCCAACTAACCTAACAGTCATGTTTTAGGACTGTGGGAGGAAGCCAGAATACCCAGAGAGAACCCACGCCTGCACAGGAAGAACATGCTAACTCCATGCAGGAAGACCCCAGGAATCAAACCTGGAACCTTCTTTCTCCACTGAGCAGCTTGTGTTGTATTCAAAATTTTTTAAATATCGCAAGACTTTATTTTTCTCTGGAAAATATTGTCCTAAAGATGAAAAAGAGTGCATATGGAACAACTGTGCATACGGGTCAAATTTGCAACATATTAAGGAAGTAATTCAGAGGGCAGCAAAAAGGCCATGGGGTCTATGGAAACCCCTGCTTTAGAATGTTTAAAAGTTATGATGAAATGAAAAAAAAAAACAGATTCTAGCATTTTCTGATTCGGAGTATCTGATGATGAATACTAATTATGTCCACAGTTGCAGCTGTTTCACGAATAAGAAGAATTGGAATTGCTGAAATCACACTATTATCCTAACTTGGTTATACTATTGAGTGTTTCTGTTTTGTGTGGTAAATCTCCAAACCAATGGGATTCTGGATACTATGCACTGATTTTCCTCACAACATCTCCAGGGCGGCTTCCAAATAGTGCAGATCGGTAAGGACACTTAAGCTAAAGTGGAATTTTGTCAGTGTTTACCATGGTAAGTGCTGGTGTTGATTAAGGAATAGGAAGCAAGATGCTTCCTATTGATGGTTAATCTAGCATAGAGACCTCCCAACTATCCTATTCACTGCATAGGAGCCATGTGGTTGCCCTCGATACTTTATTTGACAGGATGTATAGGCTAGCTAACCTCAAAGCATTTTACAGAAATATATTAACCTGTGTGACATGTGCTCTGTGCAAAGCCCTAAATACACCGAACATGATTTTGTGTCCGATAAAACAGAAAAGAGGTTGTAGCGCTTAGCGCTCATTGACAATGAAGAAGGATGAACATACCCTACATGATTAATTCAAGGGGGCTTACTTAGCTCCGACTGAAACAGACCCCAGATCTAAATGTAATGTTACAAAATGTAATTCACAACACATGCTGTATATAGGCTGATTTATACTCAGAAACCAGTTCGCATGCATGTGTGTTGCAGTAAATATGCCCCCGCCACTTCGGCAGACACTCTGGTGTCAGGAGGCATCCGACTGGTCAAATCTAAATCCGCTCTACACTATAAGTGTTTCCTGTTTGGTACCTTACTGGCTTGTTTTATTTGTATGACCACCATTGTGGAAAACGACTTGTGAAGTTGGACCAGCTACAAGAGCGAGGTGCGCGAGAACGCTGGGAGCTTTTTTCCACCTGGATCTCTGCTCTTTTTCGCCCTCATGTCCCTCCATTGTCGCACAAACTTGCCCCTTGCGTTTTTCCACTTCCTCAATGCCTCGGCCATATCTAGACCTACAGCTAGTTCGTGATAGTCCCTCTTGCATTGTGATGTGGCATTACATAGTGCAGACCACACTTCAAAATTGGGCATGAATCAAAAATATCTGCATCATACCTGTGACAAGCTCACTGCAACACACTGCTGCGGGAGTATAAGCAGCCCTTAAGGGTAATTAAAAACCGTTACTTCAATCTAACCATACAGAAAACCAGTAAACTGCATTCAATCTTCCAGCATTTACTCCTGCCAGATAGGGTTGAGCATTGAGAATCGCTAATTGATGAGAGCCGGTTCGAAAATTTTCAATTGTTCAAACTTTAGTTGCGGTATCCAGTCTACTGAGACGAAATAAAAGCTGCCTAAAATCAATAAAGAAGAATTTGCAGGTGTGTGTGCAAGCAAAAATCTGCAGCAGTCATAAGTGTTGCTTAAAGCCAAATAAAGAAATGACCAGTCAGTTACCTACGATGCTAGTGACGGCTGACATGACTAAACAACGCCAAATTCAGAAAGAGAGCCTCATCTTTTTCCTGCTGCACTGCTGCATTGATCTGCCTCTCCAAACATGCTGGTCACCCTATTGTAGTTTGCAATTGGATGACAAGTGTTTTTGATTTCTTGTGTACATGTCTTAAAATATAATGGATACTGGAGCTTGACTGGGGTAGTATACGGTGAATTTTGTAAAAATGTCCCATTTTTTAAAATTCAAAACTTGACAGGTATGCAACTCTACTAAGGTAGGCTCCCTGAGGGTATTTGTTCCCGCTCTAAATTTGTGGCACATATTCTCCAGGGAGATACTTTCTTACATATACTTTATGTCTTAAGAGATTCCTGCCTTGTTTCATACACTTTCTGATAGAACTGAAAAGCACTTAAATGCAAACTTAAGCGTAACTTAATCTTCTAGTTCATTTAGAATCTGTTTTATACGATAAAGCCCACCAACTGCACAATGGAGAATCAAATCGGGTCATTCCCCCGCCCACAAGAGTAACTGGGTTTAACTGAAGTGCAGCAAATGACACTGTTTATTCCTTCAGCTCATAGCACCAGGCAGAATTAGGTAAATAAAAGATTTTTTTTTTTTTTTTATATGACATCAATGTTTATGCACTCATTTAATCCACGTTTTAGGTGGTGGATAAGTCAAACAGCTATCCTCATTTCCACCGTCTTCTCTATTTAACCCCAATGTTCCCTCTATGTTGCGTGATTACACAGTTGCGCACTGCTTGGGCAAAGATGTCTGCATCCAGAAAGACAGAGCTACATCTATGTAATTAAAAATAGTAACTTCTAAAGGCAAACATAAAGATAGACTCTTTCAGTTCATAGGTGATAATATTTAACATAAATATAGATTACATATACCATTTATGTAAGCAAATCCCTGTAATTATTACACACTGTATCTTTAAAGACATTAACACAAAGCTTCCCTTTACAAAATGGTGTTTCCGCCCTGATCTGAAAGTAGTGTCGCTTGTGGAGAGCCACTGATGGGCCGACCCCACAGCTGCAGCCTCAAAAAGAGAGGTGAGAAGATTCCCTTTAAAAAATATCTCTTTTTGAAGGGTAGTTTTTCGGATTCCGTGTGCTTTGTCTTATCAGGTTACCAAAAAGTATACCACAAAAAAAAAAAAAAAAAAAAAAAAATTTTGAGCATTGAATCTACTGAGGGCCAATTTTAACTTCTGAGAATATATGATGTCCCACATTGGGAATACAAGACTCAAATATTTGTTTTTGTTTTGTTACTTAGATTGAGATTAACAGACTGTAAAAGGGTTGGATGAATAACATTTAATCAAGCTTAAATTGACAAATGGAAATATACAAAACTATGCTTGGATCTATTGAATTTTTCACGAAAATAATAATTTAATGTTTTATATATATATATATATATATATGATGGCTAACCAACCAGACATCGTGTTGATCGACGAACAGCAGAAGAAGGCAGTAGTGATAGATGTGGCAATCCCAAGCGACAGCAACATCAAGATGAAAGAACATGAGAAGCTTGAGAAATACCAAGGGCTGAAAGAGGAGCTAGAAAAGATGTGGAAAGTAAGAGCAGCAGTGGTGCCAGTGGTAATTGGAGCACTGGGGGCTGTGACCCCCAAACTGGGAGAGTGGCTACAGCAGATTCCAGGTAAAACATCAGAGGTCTCTGTCCAGAAGAGCGCAGTCCTAGGAACAGCTAAGATACTGCGCAGAACCCTCAAACTCCCAGGCCTCTGGTAGAGGACCCGAGCTTGAGGATGACACATACCACCCCACGAGGGGTGAGAAAACCGTTTTTTTTTTATATAT